TTAAAAGGGAATTTATAGCCTACGTTTCACTAATCCTTCATTTCAATTCCTACAGACTGGGGCAAACAAAAGCTAGAATGATAGCATATCTATACCCTGCCAAGGTTCTACAGCCCGAGTCGTGGATCGACTGAGTCTGAACTGTTTGATTCTCTGATCTGTGTTGGTGAATCAACGACTAAAGATAACTACAGTTGTGAATTAGAGCTTTACAGAATTAAATTGAAATGATAATATCCTTGTTTCAATTGCAGTAGAAGTGTCAATTTAATCTCATTTCAAGTTAGAAATCATACTGTAAGGCAGTGGTCCCCAAACTACGATATGATAATAAAGTTGCACTTTTGCAATAAAATATTCCTTAGTTATGAATTATTTTTATGATTAACTATTAGTTAGTAGCAATTTCATACACGCATATAACGTGACATTCTGTTTCACCCTTCTGCTGTCTGTGCCCCTATCTGACAACCCCCAGAAAAAAAAATCCTTAATGCGGCCCTCTCAACGATAGAGAAAGATTAGGTAAGAAAAAAATTTATTCAGAATGCAGGGCATTTAACCTGCAGTGAACAAACGAGTATAACATGGACCTGAAGATGTGTTCCATATTCTTTTTGTGTCTTAACTCTTGATTCTCTGATCTGTGTTGGTGATTTCAATGGTTTTGTAAGTCCTCTGAGATTACTTCTGTTGTGATTTAGGGCTATACAAGAATACATTGTATTGTAAATTGTTGTATTGGTTGACAACAGACTGTTTATGTTCCATGGGCTTTTTTCTGTGAAGAATCCAGAAAGGGTTATTTGATTGGGCTTTCTAGAAAACAATACATGTTTAGGTTTAGGCACTCCTACAACTTTATCTGTTACAAACTGATCCGCCCCCCCCAGAGAAGGGAAAAATTATGTAGCCCTCACAGAAAAAAGTTTGGGGACCCCTGCTGTAAGGAGACACATAAGCCATCTAATATCAGGAACTTCTGCCATGCCACACCATGGTGAATCCTCAGACTAAAATAAGTATCTGTTTTACTACTCTTTTTTCATGGACACAAACAGCAATTGACCTTTTCCCATATTTGTCTCTTCTGTCTACCTGCATTTGAAGTCACAGGAGCCGGCTGCCAGCAGGATGTTGTTGGGGTGCCAGTCCAGGCTGAGGATGGTGGAGCGGATGGGCTTTTTGATGTGTTTGCAGACCCACCTGCAGCATCAACACAAACAATTACAAAGAACAAAAAAGCATGGGCATCGTCTCCAAGCCTGACTCAGAGGCTGTTTACACTGGTCCCGTTTGCTTAAACTGGACCATTTCTGTTTTTGTTGGGGCGAAAATGCTTTATTTGAGGACACAAAAACAAATGGATCTGCGAGTTGGGATGTGCCTTCAGAAACAGATCAGTTTCTGAATGGATAAAACGGATATAACTGAATGGAATGCGTGAGTAAAATATATATATTTTAAAATGAAACGGATGAATCATTTGTCTCTAAACACATTACATCACAAGATTGTCTACTTTGTATTAAAGATAATTTAAGATTTAAACAATAACAGATCCTTTATCCGTCCCACAGAGGGGAATATTTCAGTGTTACGTCACAAATTAAAGAACAATGCACCTTCCCCCCGAGCCACAGGATGGTACTGTGGCCTTGTATGACCTGTGCCTGATCTCCAATAAAAGGGGCAGAATAAACTGGCACCTTCTGTGACAATGGCAGTGGAATTACACAACAATACAATTACAACTAGAACCTTTATTAGCACATTGACAACTTTGTAAAGTAATTTGAGATATCTGCTGTTGTGGGTAGGGCTATACAAAAAATAAAATTAATTTAATTTGTGAAGGCACGTATTGGTGAGGAGGCGGTCGATGGGAAAACAACTCAGCCTCTATAGCCATATTAAAGAAATTAAGTACTATACGTAAAAAAATATAAACGCAACACTCCCATTTTCCATGAGATACTTAAAAATCTAAAATTCATTCCAGATACACAATATTACCTTTTCTCTCAACCCTTGTTCACAAATCTGTCAAAATGTGTGATAGTGAGCACTTCTGCTTTGCTGAGGTAATCATCCCACCTTGCAACATGGGACAGTGCATCATCTTGCTGAAACATGAGGTGATGTTCATGGATGTATGGCACAACAATGGCCCTCAGGATCTCATCACGGTATCTCTGTGCATTCACATTGCCATCAATAAAATGCACCTGTGTTCTTGGACCATAACAGATGCCTGCACATACCATAACCCCACTGCCACCATGGACCACTTGATCCACAACATTGACATCAGCAAAGCGCTCACCCACACGACGCTGTCTGCCATCTGCCCTGAACAATGCAGACCGAGATTCATTCGTGAAGAGAACACCTCTGCAACGTGCCAGATGACATTGAATGTGAGCATTTGCCCACTCAAATCTGTCACAGCGAGGAGCTGGAGTCAGGTCAAGACCTGACGAGGACGACAAGCATGCAGTTGAGCTTCCCTGAGTTTCTGACAGTTTGTGCAGAAATTGTTTGGTTATAAAAACCAATTGTTTCAGCCGCTGTCTCAGTGGCTGGTCTCAGACGATTTTGGAGGTGAACCTGCTGGATGTGGAGGTCCTGGGCTGGTGTGGTTACACGTGGTCTGCGGTTGTAAGGCCGATTAGATGTACTGCCATGTTCTCTGAAACGCCTTTGGAGAAGGCTTATGGTGGAGAAATGAACATTCAATGCATAAGCAACAGATCTGGTTGATACGTATTCCTGCTGTCAGCCAATTGCACGCTCCCTCAATGCCTGTGGCATCTGTGGCATTTTGCTTTGAGACAATACTGCACATTTCAGAGTAGCCTTTTATTGTGGACAGTCTAAAGCACACCTGTGCACTAATCATGATGTCAGAGCAGCATCTTGATGTCCATCCCACCTGTGAGGTGGGATGGATTATCTCAGCAAAGCAGAAGTGCTCACTATCACACATTTAGACAGATTTGTGAACAATGTTTGAGAGAAATTGGAATTAATTATAGATCTTTAAGTCCATCTCATGGAAAATGGGAGCAAAAAAAAAAGTGTTGCGTTTATATTTTTGATGAGTATGTATACACTATGATCCATCCTCTTTACAATAACAATCACAATTCTCCAAAGGTGCACTGAATGAATATTGTCGACAGTTTGAATTTTCTTGTGGCAACTCTTCTCACCAATCGTTCTCCTGCTCAAAGTAGCAGATAGAGATGAGCCTGGAGCCACTGCCCACTGCAAACTTGTTCTCTCGCGGGGCCCACTTGACGCAGCGGGCTGCGCGGTTGATGCGCAGGATGACCAGAGTGGGCTTCCAGGCACCGTCTTTGAGCGTCCACACGTAGGCGTTCCGGTCAGCTCCACACGTCACGATGCGGTTACTGTCTGCAGCCCAGTCAATTCCTGCACCGCAAGCAAACAGAGATTGGATTTTTAGAGACAGAGCTGGCAAATATGATATATGTCCCTCAATAAAGAAACGATATGTACGCAAATACAAGCGTTGTCAAAAGTATCAAAAATCAATCAATTTTAAAACTAGATTCAAACCTAGATACTCAATTCAACTACTCAAAAATACAATACTGAAAAATCAATACTGAAACAAATAAACTGAATATGTGAGATTATCTGAGAAATGTTTTAATTATTTTTCAGAACTACCGGTGGTATAAAACAAAGTTTTATAGAATATACCACTGAGCTCCTCCTTAATGCGGTCAAACAAAGTTACAGTAAATTCCTGTAAAAATGTATAGTCAAAGTTGTTTTTTAAAGTATGCATTTGCAATGACAGTAGGTATGTGAACCATAACATCTGTAATAAATAAATAAATACAATCTATTCTAGTATATTGCTTGGAATTGATTTTTTTAATTGTTATATAGTGACAACACTACTAAATACAAGGCACATATTGTTTAATCAACCCCAATAATAGGCTTTTGACCCTTAACCTCATAATACAGCGCTTTTATGAAGGGCTTTTTTTATAAAGTGGTGATAAAACTACTGTATCCACAGCTGCCCTGGGCCATACTGACTGAAGGGAGGCAACCATTCACAAACACACCACTGTGCCACCCCACTGTGATACTTGGTATTCTTAGATTAAGATTAAGACATCCTTCATTTGTCCCACAGAGGGGACATTTCAGAAATTCTCAGAGGTCTCTAACAAACCAGGCCCTCCACTGCTTAGCTTCAGAGGTTTGAAAAGTCTTTCACATGCTTGTGGTGCCACAACTGTGACAATTACAAAATATCAACATATATAAAGTATCAAAGAAATTGAAATATCAACATTCCTAAATTATTTTACCATTACTTTCTGTACTGTGTCTAGCAATAGTTCTGAGCGAGCGTCATGTTAAACCAAAACATTTTTCCGCAATACTTTTATACTGAGATCCATTTTTCCTTGTAAAAAGTGTGTTTATAGCTCATCTTTTGCATCTCTTTTCAAGTACTTTTACATTATGAAGGTAATAGCTGACATTTGCTTGATGAAAGTAACGCAAAAGGGTCGAATTCCCAGTAAATTATTGTTTTGCAAGTAAGACGGTGTGTGGGAAAAGTTCTTTTGATACAACTGTAGGCTGTAAAGGCTTCTCTTCCTAAGCACCCATTCTGTAGTAATTGACGTGCAAATCCTCTTTCCATACTTTATGGAGGTACTAATTATTACTTACTGAACATGGGTTTGGATTTTCTTTTCAGGTAGTTTCAGAACAAAATACTTCAGTTATGTTTAAATATACTCAAGAACGTAAACCAATAAATAACTATATTAATATCATATTTGGGGGTGCAAAAGATGTTACAGACCATAATAAGCTGATGTGAGGTTTGGCACATGTGATTCAAATAATGAAGGAGCAGCTCACCCGTCACCTGTCCGTTGTGCTCCTTCAGCTCGTGCACTTTGTTCCACATGGCTCCATCTTTCTTGTAAATGTGCACCTCATGATTGTTGGGACACAGGGCAATTTCTGCAGCAGCAAACAAACAAACACTTCAAGAATGAGGGATGGAAACGTCAAGCTGGACCACAAATGTGACGCATTACTCAGCCATTACACTGATAGAAAACCTGGAATTTTGCTGGTGCAACTTGTTATCAGCACACCAGGTGGACTGATGGTGGATCTCCCCTCTGAAGGCATTACACTGTACAATGCTTTTGCAGTGAAGGCACACTTTCAAAGACTGCGAAGGCTCTGAATTGAATGGAACACATGTTGAGAGCTTATGTACAATACACCTGGTCAATGGACAACGCTAAAGCACTTTATGTGCAAGAATCAATACTGAAATTGGAGAAAAAAAATGGAAAGGAAATGTTGTATCCTATTTCTGAGGGACAGAATCATAGAATGCCCATGGTGCTCTTGGTGGACCTGGCCCACCAAGGTACAATACAATACAATACAATACAATTTATTCTTGTATAGCCCTAGGTCACAACAGAAGTCATCTCAGAGGACTTAACAAAACCATTGAAATCACCAACACAGGTCAGAGAATCAACAGCCAAAACACATGGAGAATATAAAGCAAACACAGAAGAAAATGTCCATACATGTTGTAGAATGCTAAAGTGTCCTGATCATCACCAATCCTTTCTGTTGGACACTAACTGTCCAACAAGACCCTCCTGCATCGACAAGGAAAAACTCTTAAAAAACCCAGTGGGAAAAAGTGAGAAACCTTGGGGAGCACTAGGGAAACCCACAGGGAGGGAGACCCATATGAGAAAGGGATCCGCTCCTCCGGACGGACAGGCTAATGATCTAGGACCTAAGCTAGCTACAGAACGTAATCTGGTAAACTAGGACGAACTAGGACTGAACTAAAAAACTACGCTCAGCTCCGAAAAATAAGGTATGTTGACAGACGGCTCGAAGGACCAAATATTTTAATGCTGATTCAAGCCACAATTGCCTCGACAAAACCACACAGACAAATATTAGTTTGTTTCTTACTTGCACCAAAGGGATAGTGACTGAGAAAGAGGATTTGGACAAAGCAAATCACAGCCTTCTGCTTGTCCGTCTCATATTCACAGTTAAAACCACACCTCCATACAAGGTAACAATGCCCAAATGCTTCAAGGTAGCCACTCCTTATTTACATATAAACAATGTATCTGTGGTATAGAGTTCAAAAGCCCTTGCCAGGGGACTAAAGGTTACTACCCCTTCCTGGCCAATAATGCCAAATGGTGAGTTGCCTTATGCCGCTTTTCCACAGTAACGGTACGGTACGGCACGGCATGGCTATATTGCATTTCCACTAGGGTTGGGCTTGGGATCGGGGGTACTTTTTTCGTACCACCTCGACAGTGGTTCTGTCCGGGCCGAAGCAATACCATGACGGGACGTCAGCCGACTGCCTTACACTGATTGGTCATCGAGTCTTGTCACTGGACGCGCCGTCCGACCCTTTGGTCAAAACAACTCAACCGCCATCTTTAAAACCGGCTGCTCTGCCATGGATCAATAATAGGCTATAATACGTCCTCCTCACTCCAGGGATATGGAATCGCACAGAAAGCCCCAAAAGGCCCTGGTCGGTCGGAGAGGTCCACACGTTACTTTCTTTAGGCCGAAGAAAGAATTCAAAGGCAGCTCGACGCAACAAGGTTTTCAGGGAGATCGCTCTTGATTTGTGACTAGTCTGTAGTAATCCTGGAAATAACTGGTTAGCTACGTATCCCGTTGGCCCAAAGCTCTCACTGAAATGTATTTACTCGTGTAAAAGTGTTATTGTCTGTTTTACACAGTGAGCTAGCTACATTTAGCTATCGATAGCAAGCTAAGCTAAAAGTCCTTCCTGTTCTACTGTGCTGTACTTTGCTCTTTCACGTGTTGCCATTCTGTTTTGTGCTTGTACTTAAGTTGTCGTGTGTATATTTATTTTTTTGAGAGTCCTTTCCAAAAATTACCAACGAGCAATGAGTGTACTTAACTTTCTCCTCATCTGGACCCGGTCTCAGAGACCCTGAAAAGGTTTTAGGAGCTAGTTCTGCAGGGGGTAAGAAGAGTCCCCTAGGAGGTAATAACCAGCTATCACCGATATTATAATAAATGCACCGCACCAATGTTGCTGGTTACGCGTAAATCACGTGGTCTGACAATCCCTCCCACGCTGAAGAGGTACTATAATTAATGGAAAAGCACCCGCACACGGCCGCGCCGCTCCGTATTGTACCGTTACTGTGGAAAAGCGGCATTATTGAACTCTAGATTAATGTTAAGCACATTCTTATTCATTTAATTGATATTATAAACATCATTTCTATTACACTAAACCAAACTGTAAGTAAGGAGGAGGATTCATGTAGGATGAAATCAAGCATCAGTACATATTTGGTCTAAGCCACATATTGAATAATCCTGGTGTAGAGGACTGCGCTGTAGGAGTAAATTTTAGTTTGAATAGTAAGAACACATTGCATGAAAGAATTAAAGCAAAATGTATGAAATATTCTTTCTATCTAAGGGGTAGTAATAGTATTATTAACTATAATAATAATGTTATTTTAGAGATTTCATGACACTTTGAAGCAACTGTGGTTAAAGTTGTAACTCATCATTCTAACAATATGCACAAGCCAATACTTTTCCACAGCATGTTTTGGTTTTCTGAAGGCCAAGCTACAGGCATCGCGGCAAAAGCTGCTCCATGCTGAATATTATCACTTGCTGTCTGGAACATCTTTGTTCGTGCTGTCTCTACTATCGACAATAAAACATGTCTTCTGTCTGAATTAAAGACACGATCCCAGACTTTGTCATCTTCTTCAGTATAGTTAATAATAATATAGTTGTAATAATATAGTATAGTATAATAATACAGTTGTAACTATATTAATAAACTATTACTAGCAAAGGCAGCAATATTATTTTTGAAGAACTCTTAAAAGTGGAACCTCAACATGACTCTTGTGCCACTTGTCACATCCGCCTGTCTTCTGAAGCCAAAGAAGAAAAAAAGACCTAATATGGGCTTGGTGTGCAGCTACAGAACCGCTGCAGAAGAAACAGGAAACAGGAAATACCTCGCTTCACCTGCCAGCCAATCAGAAACAATGTCATCTTTACAGCTTTTTAGGATAGCTGCAACATCTCTGGGATTATATATTGTATAATCACAATAAGCTTTAAGTTGATTAGACCTGATATTTGAGATGTTTAGGGTCAAATAATTTTTTAACCATAGGTTCACCATTTATACAAGACCCTTCTCAGGATGCATATTGCTATACTTAACCAATTATTGTAATTCTCCTCTTGTTGTCCAATCCAGTTTCAACCATATTTTATCTTACCAGTTCTAGCCGTGATTTGATGATTTGATAATTTCGTGCTTCACTTGAAAATCACATTCTTGTGGACTTTTTCCAACAGATATAGATTTCACTCAACTACTTGCCTTGTTTTCTTTGCACATCTCAATAACAAAATGCAAAAAGATCTGAACCCAACATTTATTGATACTTTCAAATTAGCCTGGATGAAGCTAAAATCAACTCCAGGTCTGATTTTGATGAGGAACAATGTTGTTAAAAGCTCAGTTCAGATTATCATGCACAACATTTCTCTTAATGTTATGTAAATAATATACTGGGCTTTTTCCAGTGCCTTTTGATCCATGGGACTTAACACCACTACTCTGGAAATCAGGTTACAATAGGATTTTGGTAAACTAACAGATAGACGAGTGCATGTACAAACTTACGGCTCCGGTCTTTGTTCCAGGCGTGACAGCTGATTGGTTCCAGGAGGAAGCTGTGGTAAGACATGGCCAATCAGGGAGCAGAATGCAACCAGGAAGTCCAGAGCGGAAAGATAACTGTCAAGTCAGAAAACACAAAAAAGCAGAAGTGAGTACATTTTTGTTAAAAGCAGGAAGTACAGGAGGTTCAGATTGAATTTATTTAAGACATTGTTGAGAGAATTCTTTAGTATTGTCATTTTGCTGGTGATCTAAATCCAACTCACAAAACTTCTGAGTCAATCTGTCATAAACTAAACATCCTCTCATTGATCAAAGCATTTTAAAAGGAGGCTAATTGGATTTTAGCACAAACATCAATTTAATTAATTCCAGATTTGTGGAAATATTCTTGGTTTTTTAATTTTAGCTAAAGTCAATTCTTGATTAACTGATCAAGTTTTGCTTCACAAATGTTTCCCAACATTTCCCACTTTCTTACACCACATTCAATAACATTGTATACAGTATATTATCTGTAGTCTAACATAGGCTTAATTCATTGAGAGAAGTTTTTGTGAAGTGACTCACCCGGAATGAAGTGAATGCTGAGAAGTGGAGAGTAGGAGTGGTTGGAATAAAAACAAATACTGGGAAAAAAGGTTTTTCAAAGTGAGCTCGCGGACTCTGGCCAGTCAACGCGAACGCCAACCAAAGAGTGAGTAAAAGTGAGTGAGAGAATCATAGAGGAGGGGACTGGAGGAGGGGAGAGCAGAGAGAGAGAGGGGCGTTTACTGTTGAAGTCTTGAGGTAAAGACAGTTGAAAAGGGGAAGGCAAAAAATAGAGGGAAGAAAAACTTGCAAACAGAAGAGACAGAAGGGGGAGGGAGAAATCCAACTGGAAAAGACATTTAAACATATGGCAAATGCTTACAATGGGAAACTACATGTTGCCCAGAAGAACAATTACAGTGGTTTTATTTCACATTTGGTCATCATTCAGGTTAGTCCTGATTTTGTACAGTGTGGAATCCTTTTGTCTATCTTTTTATTAATGCTAGGGAAAACATGAAGAATATTCAAGGCATAAGATTCAAAGAATTTAAGGCCATGGAGACTATGATTATATTTGCATTATCTGGACTAAATATTAATATCTCAAGGACTGTCTGGCGTCTTTGTTCTGACATGGTTATGACACATACAAAAGGCTTTGTCTTCTTTTGCTCGCTCTGGAAGAACAGTAAAATAAACTGAGGGTTACAAGTGCATGAGATTGCTGCTGCCTCCATATCATTTTTTGACAACGGAGGTAGTTCTATTGATCCCTTGTACTACCCTCCGGTCAAAATGACCCGCCACAGATGAAAATAGTAGAAGAAAAATACCCTAAATTAGGGTTTAAAACCCCCATGGCTGGTCAAGTTAGGAAAAATCAATGTGTTCTCTCTGGTTCATCTCTGTGACCTACAATTTGTCCAGAGTGTGAACGCACCCTAAAAGCCTAAGATACTTGGTGTTTATAATTTGAAAGTATTACTTGCAAAGCCAAGTACCATTCAAAATCAAGGTTAAAGCTGGCCTAGAAAACTTATTACCCCTCCTGTATACAAACAACATTTCCCTTATTCCATCAAAGGTTAAAATTCAAAAATATATATATATAATTATCTGCAGTTTTTTCCCCAACAGAAATAACTAATCCTCTTTATTTTCTTCTTGTATGCATTTATTTTCTTTGTATCTTAATTTATTTACACAGGTGTATGTGCTGACACTTACTGGGAACTTTTGCGAGTCCTGCTGATTTTTTGCCACAACCACTTTATATCAAATTGTGACTGCATATTTTCTACTGCTATATTGTCACATGTAGACCTCTAATGGCAGCATCACGTAAATACAGTATGGCTCTAACACGGTCAACACAGACTCTCATCATACTGCTCAATTCACGCATATTTATCTTATTTAAGCCTGACATTTAACTGTCATACAGCATCGGTAAGTTTTGGCCAGTACCTGACGTCATCTACACAAAAGTTTTCATGGCAAAAATGATAAGCATAAACATGATGGTGACGAGAAGGATGATACTGTAATGATGACGATATAATGTGTAATTGTTGTTGAAATAATTGTTTTACTGACCAGGCAGTTTAAGTGAATGTATGTGTACGTAGATGGAAGTTCTTAATCAATCAATCAAAGTTTATTTGTAGAGCGCCTTTCATACACAGAGCAACACAAAGCGCTTCACAGTCCACATCACAAATCGTCACATAAAACAAACACCAGAATCACAATTAAAACATTAAAATCACACAAAAGATTAAAACACAATTAAAACATTAAAATCACACAAAAGAATAAAACCATTAAAACTTTCAAAATTACACAAGAAATTTAAAAAAATAAATAAATGACAGCAGTGCATTAGAAATGGAGATAAAATCCTTCAGTTGTATGCACAGGCAAACAGAACAGTCTTTAACCTGGATTTGAACATTGACAGAGTAGACGCCTCCCTCACATTTTCAGGGAGATTGTTCCAGATCTTAGCTGCATGGATCTGAAACGCAGCCTCCCCATGTTTGGTTCTCACTCTGGGCACCAGCAGGAGGCCAGTCCCTGTGCTCCTCAGAGTCCGGGCTGGTTCATATGACACCAACATGTCACTAATGTATTCTGGTGCAAGGCCATGGAGAGACTTGTACACAAGCAGAGCTGTTTTAAAATCTATTCTTTGAGCCACAGGAAGCCAGTGCAGAGACCTGAGGACCGGACTAATATGGTCATACTTCCTGGTTCCTGTCAGGACTCTAGCTGCTGCATTTTGGATGTACTGCAGCTGCTTACAGGTCTGTTTGGACAGACCTGTGAGCAGGCCATTGCAGTAGTCTAGCCTGCTGGAGACAAATGCATGGACAAGAATCTCCAAGTCTGCCCTGGACACTATATTTCTAACTTTGGCAATGTTCTTCAGATGGTAAGTAAGTCTTACTTCTTAACATAAGATACTCTTCCCACTCTATTTCAGGTCTCTATAGAGGTGAAGAGGAAATGTGTATCTATGTATTTATGTCAAATAACTGAATCCTGTATGAACCTAAAAAAAGAATAGAATGAATATTATCACTTCATTCATTGAATGTCCAGCAGAGGGCGCCGCTAAGTCACAATAACAGGCACGCAGTTATGGCACACAAACATTTCGTGGCGGATTTTTCTTTAGTTACAGTCCTGTTATAATTTTCATGTTGTGGTTTTTGCACAAAAATGGCAGGAACTCATTGACATTTATGGATTATTTCATCAATTGAAAAAGTGTGGGTCAGACCCAAGCCCCGGCGATCCAAGATGGCGCCCGATTCAAATGAATGGTTGTGCTCAGTGGCGCTTTGTGACGGCATGGGGGCTGAAAGATTAGCGGAAGTTGCCTGAAACTCGCAAAGATCTATGGGAAACTCGCCTGTATTTGGGCATCGTCTGGTCCTCCCGGTTCTGCGCAGTGGATGATCTCCCATAATGCGTTGCATCGAACACGCGTGTGTGGGTCTCACACCAGGTCTCACGCACGTGCACAGAGGGGCTCGGCCGCGCTCTGACCAATCAGAGCAGTTCATCAGAGCGGGAGTTAGAGCGAGAGCCAGACGAGCAGAGTTTGTGGCACTAAAGTGTGGATTTAAACAAAACCGAAGGATTTAAGAAGAAAAAAAGTTCAGGATGACAAGGGACACTAAAATCCCCACAAAATCCGATCTTTATTAAAGCTTTAGGTTCTCTGTCAGCTGAGGTTGAGCTGTTTTAATATGCATTGAGTTCTATGGGGAAAATTTCTGGGTAGCCCACGTGAATTTAGTCTGGTCTAGTCTGCAGTACCGCGAGAATCCCCTGAGCACGTGAGTTATTCAGCTACAAGCTAGTAATACCCTATCCAGTTATTATAATACATCCATGGTCAGACCTCACACTGTGGGGAATGGAGCGATATCAAGGAAATTTATGTATGCAGCCAATCTCTGATGATAGACTGTTTTGGTCTAACTTTCTGTAGCCCCGCCCCTTTCATTTGCATTGCTTTATAACAAACAAAAGAATTATGTGCTGTGAAATAATTGAACAGAACATCAAGAAAAATAAAATGAAGAAAATAAATACATGGGGAAAGATTTTTTTTAAATTATTATTATTTCTTTGGGCACAAAACTAAAGTTAAATAATAAAAATATATTTATTTTAATCTTAACCTTTGAACAAACAGGAAAACAAAGCTGTATAATTGTTTGGAACCAAAAAACGTATATTAATTCAACCTCATGATTTGTTGTGTTATCTTAATTATTGACAGAATGTGACATTTTTTAATTTGGACACACACACACACGGTTATGTTACAGCCTTATTCCAAAATTGATTCAATTCATTTTTTCCTCACAATTCTACACACAACACCTCATAATGACAACATGAAAAAGTCTTTTTGAATATGATGCCACAAGCTTGGCACACCTGTCTTTGGGCAGTTTTGCCCATTCCTCTTTTCAGCACCTATCAAGCTCCATCAAATTGGATGGGGAGTGTTGGTGCACAGCCATTTTCAGATCACTTCAGAGATGTTCAATTGGATTCAAGTCTGGGCTCTGGTTGGGCCACTCAAGGACAATCACAGAATTGTCCTGAAGCCACTTCTTTGTTATCTTGGCTGTGTGTTTAGGGGCGTTGTCCTGCTGAAAGATGAAACGTCGCCCCAGTCTGAGGTCAAGAGTGCTCTGGAGCAAGTTTTCATCCAGGATGTCTCTGTACATTGCTGCATTCATCTTTTCCTCTATCTTGACTAGTCTCTCAGCTCCTGCCGCTGAATAACATCCCCACAGCATGATGCTACCACCACCATGCTTCACTGTAGGGATGGTATTAGCTTGGTGATGAGCTTTGCCTGGTTTCCTCCAAACATGACGCCTGGTATTCACGCCAAAGAGTTCAATCTTTGTCTCATTAGACCAGAGAATTTTTTTACTCATGGTCTGAGAGTCCTTCAGGTGCCTTTTGGCAAACCCCAAACTAAGGAGCGGCTTCCGTTTGGCCACTCTACCATACAGGCCTGATTTGTGGATTGCTGCAGAGATGGTTGTCCTTCTAGGTTCTCTCTCTCTACAGAGGAACGCTGGAGCTCTGACAAAGTGACCATCGGGTTCTTAGTCACCTCCCTGACTAAGGCCCTTCTCCCCCGATCGCTCAGTTTAGATGGCCAGCTCTAGGAAGAGTACTGGTGGTTCCAAACTTCTTCCATTTACGGATAATGGAGGCCACTGTGCTCATTGGGACCTTCAAAGCAGCAGAAATGTTTTACCCTAGGTCTACAGACAATTCCTTTACCACAGGTGGACTCCAATGAAACCGTAGAAGCATCTCAAGGATGATCCGTGGAAACAGGATGCACCTGAGCTCAATTTTGAGCTTCATGGCAAAGGTGTGAATACTTATGTGCACGTGGTTTTAGTTTTTTTTATTTTTAATAAATTTGCAAGAATTTCCCAAAAACTTTTTTCATGTCGTCATTATGGAATTTTTTTTAATCCCTTATGGAATAAGGCTGTAACATAACAAAATGGAAAAAGTGAAGCGCTGTGAATACTTTCTGGATGCACTGTAGTTATTGTACTGTATATTTTGCTTATAAGAAGTTGTGTTAATGGGGGCGACAGTAGCTCAGTTGGTAGAGCACTGGCCTTCAGGCCTGAAGGTCGTGGGTTCAATTCCCACCTCCACACCTTCTCCACCGACTCCCACTGATGACTGCTGTCGTTGTGTCCTTGGGCAAGACACTTAACCCCACTTTGCCCAAAAGCCCCCACTGAAAGATCAAGGCTATGCTCACAGTCAGAGAGCAGCCGTCCTCCTGTGGACTCACCACCTGCAGAGGGTCAGTGAGGGGCTGGTGCTATGAGACTTGGGTGGCATCTCTGACTGCCACCCCCCTGACCCAGAAATGGATTAAAGGGAAGAAAATGGATGGATGGAAGTTGTGTTAATGCTAACTAATGACTACCTGCTGTGTTGCAATCTCACACGCATGCGTCCGCGTCACTTGTGTTATGGGATGCATGGGCGGGTCATTTGGCCCATTCGTTAATGCAATCATTTTTTAAACGCAATTTAAAAAAAAATCAATTAACATGCGTTTCCGCGATAATTTTGACAGCCCTAATATATACATACTGTATGTACACAATATCTGGTTGGGGATGTTGGTGGGACCTCCCCTCTGACCTTGGCAACTGTGGTATCTGTGGCATACATCTCATCGAGCTCAAGCTGTGACCCATTGTAGTGTTTTTTACTGGCAGTGACTTATTATAGTGGGATTAAATCAAATATTTGACAAATAATTAATGAAACAAATCATCTCCCATCCCCCACTTGAAGAGCCACTGAGATACAGCCTTGATAACATAAAAACAAATCAATTACCATCATACAGAATGCTGTAATAATATAGCATCCAATCACTCCATACACAGTGGTGATAAACTACTGTTGGCACAGCTGCCCTGTGGCACACTGAAAGAAATGAGGCAACGAGTATGTGCAATCGGCCCCTCCAACCAACAGCAGCCATTTTTAAGCCGCAGCTGCACCACTGTGGTACCTGGTGTTCCCAGAGGTCTCCGATCACATGACTAACTAGTCCCTGCCCTCCAATGTTCAAGAGGTCTGACGGGATCTGGCTTTCACATGCAAGTAAGGGGTGATTCATTACATTGCGTATAGATGGCGCTGTGTGTTGATTAAAATAGTGTGATTACCAAACATAAGCAAACTTATTTTGTCCAAATTCAAGTGTCCATAATGCAAAAAATAAAAATAAATTATAGAATATTCAAAAGGTATTCTTGAAAATCTCTCAACCCCTGACAGTCTCTTTAAAATCAAGTTTTCCACAATTTTCACTACTGTACCCACATGATTAGAGGCTTTACAAAAACATTTTACCCATTACTACATGGTACAAAAGATTCCCCCCAAAGAACGAGAGCAGCCGCTTGGATAGTGAACTGTAAATGCATTTGTCTTTATTCACGTCTACCTCAAGTTACATATAAATCCTCCATCTTTGTAGCGTAGCCTCTTCAGACCCTACAGTCGACTCCTGCCATCGTTCAGACCACTGCATACCCGCTCCAACGCCGCGGCCAAAACCAGTTGCCAACTCGGAATATAATCTTTTTTATCAATTTCTATAATAATTTGACTTTATAATTTACTTTTACTACCCAGAGTTGGTGTGTGGCTTAGGTTTGCCGGTGGAAGGGGAGTGCATTTGTTGGGGATAAAATGCACCTTTTAGTGTTTTGGTATAGGAGGTTATAAAAACAAAATAGAACTCACATTATGTTTTAATAGAACCGCTTCAGTTAGCTTTCATTTAAAATATTAATCATGAAAAAAATAACAAAACATTAAGTGAATTCACATGTCAGTTGGGTGATTGTGGTCATGTGAAGAGTGTATTATCAGATAGGCCTGTCAACAAATGTATAGAATTCTTGCTCAATTCATTAATAGCAATACATGCTTTTCTTAACATTTTCCCAACACGAGGATGGAAAGAAAATTCCCACTTTATTGCTAATTTAAATATAAAATATACAGTCTTATACTTTCGTAGGCATAAAATCTTTAATAATTTCTGGGTCAATATTTTCCAATGCGCCAAGAGACAAGCCTAATATTGCGGGTTTGAGGAGTGCGTGCCGTGGCTTCTTGTGCCTGAGCGGACATTTTGAACTATGAATAGTGGTGTGTATGTGTGTTACTAGCTGGAGGGAGGGGAGGAGGGATGAGGGATAGAGGGAGGAGGTGCAGCGTCTAGTATTTCATTCATTCTCTTCTTCACATGATGCGTAGACCCTGGATTGAAGCCTCTAGACTCTGTGGAAGGGGAACAAAACCGGTTGAACAATAGTGTTTTATAAAGGAAAAAGTGAAAAAAACATTCTTCTGTATAATCAGTTAAATGTAACACAAATGTAGTGGTACATTTTCTAGTGATGGGCATACAATATCAATGCTCCAGTGCTTGTGTTGCTCTTCCTGAAACAACCTGCTTCGAAACACTTTGTTGGAGCGTGTATCAAAACAAGCCGGGTCACGTGATAAACAAGTAAAGAGGGATTTTTATTGATCTCACACTGGAGAAATGTATATGTCACATTAGGCATAGATAGAATCACTCAGATTGTGCAAAAGACAGAAGTGTGCAAACAAGATTAAAAATATTGTCTGTGCAGGATATAATTATGTACAATAAAAAAGCAGTAATAACAAAAGAGTGGCAAATGCAGTGCTGGTTTTTTCAGCCCTAGTGCACTAGTGACCTTATTGTACAATCTGACAGCTGTGGGGATAAAGGCCTTGTGGTGGGGCTCCTTCTTGCACTGAGGGTGTCTCATTCTTCCTCCTCAGCTCCTCTACAGTCCTGTGCCACTGCCAATGCGTTTCTCATCAGCTACACACAGTTTTCATTTTAGTTTTTTTTTTTTACAAGTTTCCACCTTTTGCATCCTTTATGTTAGATTTAGATAAACATTTTTAACTTTGACTACAAAGATAGTTAAACTGATAAATTGATTTTTGATGTCGAACCCACTTGTTTTAACAATTATATGTCTTTTTGCACTGTGATTATACATATATTTGTTCAAAATGAAGTAGGGCTGGGCGATATAGCAAAAAAGTAAAATCTCGATTTTATCTCCTGCTTTGGACGATTTCGATTTTAAATCAATTTTCATTAAAGTCACCAAAGACAAACTTTGCCCTTAGAAATATGTTTTTATCTTTCCGCTCAATATTCAAGTTTCAAAACGTATTAATTTGTTTCCCCCAATACGTAATACAAAAGTGTTGTAAAGACTGTGCTGACATTGTAAGTACTATTCATTTGCTGCTCTCACAATATCCTTCATTCGATTTCACGATTTTCACATTTTCCCAAATTCGATTTTTTTCAAAAGCCGATTAATTGCCTAAATTCGATTTATTGCCCAGCCCTAAAATGAAGCATTAGTTTAAATCATGTACGTACTTTAAAGTCCCAAATCGTCATAGCTCCATCGATGCCTGTGGTGCAGAACCTGCGACAATCCCTTTTGTCCCCTTCATAGATAGACACTTGGCTGTGGACATCAAAAATATATCAGGCAAGTGTCTGCTTAACACAGCAACTTTGTAGGACGGACAGCAGCTGTTAAACGAGGACAAGCTTCACAGGACATTGTGTTCATATTTATATGAACACAATGTGCGGGTCACTCTTTTTGACACATGAATCTGTGCTAATTATACACGTTGCAAAGGCTAGGGTTAGGTGAGGTTAGGCTTGTACTCATTTGTGAAGTATCCTTACGTGATGCTGTTCTGGTGCAGTGTGTCCAGGGCAGTGTTGCGGTCCTCGGTGGTGGCCCTCTTGTCCATGTTCCTGAAGCGCTCCATGGCAGAGATGTTCCTCTGGATGCTCTGCTTGGGGAGGTCCAGCTTGGACACAAACGTGAGGGTGCCGCCGTCATCCACGCGGAATAGCATGGGGCAGCAGTCGTGGCCCTGGCAGCACAAATACAGGGACAGATTTTAACGACAAACTTGTTATTAACAGGACTAAGAATATGTGGTCGGAGCTTACCGCAGCTACTACACTGTTCTCGGACACGAAAATGACGCTGAGGAGAGGGAGGAACTCTGTCTTCAACTGTGAGGGACTAAAACAAATAAGCTTTAATGGAAGACCCGTTAGTCCCAGGCTAGTTCCTGATTGGAGAAAGGAAAGTAGAATATGTGGTATTGGTGCTTAAAGGTACACTGTAATTTTTTGCGTTGATCTTATATTGCAGTCCAAGGTACTACAGAAGCCCAAGTTACTTAAGCTTTAATTCAGACATTCTGTGACCATTATGAATCTAAAAGATACTGTGATCACAGGCAGTTGTGTTTTCAGTATATGATGGCATGGGTTTGTGATATGCAGAAAATTACTGAATAAGAGGATAATTTTTTGTAACTCCCAATTTTGTTATTCATCATAATGAGTGTAAACGGGGAAATATTCTTTGCTGCTGTTATAGTCATGTGTCACAGTATCTTATATCTCCTCTTAGCGATCGATCAACAGACCTTTGTTTTGATTCGGCGCTTACACACGTGTGCCGCAGAACTTTGTTTTAATCAGAGCTCTTTAGTTGTTTAATGTTCATAAAACAATACAATTGCACTAGAATATGATTGAATCTTATCCTCTCCATCCAGGGCAATGAGGCAAATCATGAACACCCTGTCAGGATTGGATTGAGAGTTGATAATTACACAAACAAATGCCGCAGACCAGGCATAAGTTCAGACATGAATCAAAAGTATATTGTAAAAGAATCCTTAAGTCCTCTTTTCTATGAGAAATGTGGATGTATACCTGGTGGTCTTTGAGCTCTCCACCACATTGACAGTGCTATCGTGGCTAACCCAGGCCAGGCGGTTCCCAGAGGCAGAGAAGGACACAGAGTGGACCCAGCCACCTCCACCTAAGGACACACAAACATGTCTTCAATTATATACATGAAAGAAATTTGTTTTGTTGTGATTGGAGGAGGAAGAATACAGAGGTGCGTCCCAAGAACACTATACCCCCTGTGAAGTCTGGGGGTAGACACTATGGTTTAGGGCTGCTTTTGGTAGGGTGATTGATCTGTATAATGGAATGGATGGGGCCCATCCATCCATCCATCCATTGTCTACCCTTTAATCCATTTCTGGGTCAGGGGGGTGGCAGTCAGAGATGCCACCCAAGTCTCATAGCACCAGCCCCTCACTGACCCTCTGCAGGTGGTGAGTCCACAGGAGGTGGATGGGGCCATATAAAGTAATTGCATGCATGTATTCTTTCATCAGTGAAACAGTATGTTTAGGCAAAGTATGTAGATAACAAGAGGCAAAACTCTGTTGCCGTTTTGACAACAGCCACTAGATAGCGCTTTAGCCATTTTGGTACATACACTACAAAGTAATAAGATTAAGTATGAAAATAAATGGAAAAAGCAAAATGAGTGCTTCGCCATCAACTCAAAGTTGAAGAGTACCTATGATGAAGATTAGGACCCCCTCTCATCTTTTAAAGGGTTAGAATTTAGAAAAGCTGTAACTGCAAAATAGTTTTTTCCCCTCCACTATACTAGTACATGGGTGGAATGAAGGGAAAACACATATAATTAGGAAAAAAAACACAGACCGGCTCCTCCAAACTCCGCTAACACAGCTCCAAATGGCATCTTACTGCCCCAGGGCGTGGGGCCGGGCTTCTCCTCCACCTCCTTGATGTAGGCCGAGAACACCCTATGGCAGAGGAAGGGGAGGGGCTTTGGTCACTCTTGTACATTAAAGACCTTATGCAGGGTTTATATCGATTGGAAATAAAGTTTGAATACCATTATATATTAGAAGAGAACGACTAAAAGTTTCAAAATAATCTCTTTTTTTTTTGTCCGATCCCCCCAAATCGAGAAAAGACCATAGCAACGTCCTTAGAAACGGAAAAAGTCATACCAGCGTTTCTCCCTCGGTGATGTCACGGCGGGCACTGGTGTGATCCGGAAGTCCATATACTATTGCTCTTGTTTAAATATTGTTAGTCTATTCTTCTATTTTTCGCAGTAAATTGATGGATATTCAAGATGCTGAGAAGATGTGTTGTAATGCACTGCTCAGACGCACAATAGGCCTCAGACCAAAGGAGAAGAGGAGGCTTTGGACGGAAGAGGAAGAAGCGTTAGATCCATGGGATGGACTTGATTCGGTGAGAACGACCAATGAACTTCAACGAGTTGTAGAACTACGGGACTTTTATAAATTAACAAAATATGTTCCTCAAACCGAGACTTTACATTCAGTGGAAATGCTGCAGCGAGTGGCGCTAGGACAGAGACCGCTGCTCTATCAGGAGACTGAAATACCCGAGAGTCACTATTACAACTTTCTTATGTGTCTTGTAGATTTGATCATTAACTCATTGAATGCCAGCCTATTTCAGAACAGGTACTCCCATAGTGCCAGCCATGTCTGATGATTTTTACTGATTTTTCAAGACCCACAGAATATTGTGTACTATGACTATCTGAAATCCGACACCAGATTCTAAAAGAATGGACTGTCTACTTTCCTCAGCAAAAAGAATTTTGTTTATAGCTTTTTTTGTTCCCCTGTAATCCTCCGTCGAGTAGAGGGAAGTTTTACTGAAATCACCAGAAATCACCAGAAAGTTGAGAAAAAAGAGGCACAACATGTGCATCTAACTGTTTTCAAACCATTCAGAGAGCAATGCTGCCACCTGCTGGCTCGATAAAATATGGTCTCAAGTCATCCCAATACATATTAGATAAAATAGACATCTGGGAACGTGAAAATAGCGAAAAAGGCAATTTACGTATTAATGTGTCAATGGCACACGACGTTACCATTTGCTTTCGCGTATTTGTGCGTCAATGGGACACAATGAGTTAAAATGAAACGAGTCATTTCTAAAAGTTATCACATTTATATTAAACACATTTTTGAGTTTCAATTCAGCGTTTGATTGTACCTTTGTGTTAAAAGTGACATGAAAATCCCTTTTAGCCATCCGTAAACTCCGGTCAATTCTTAATTCCCTACATGTACGAAATACGAGTACCATAAGACCAGGCTAAGACCATATTAGTAAGACCATAGAATAAATATTGGTAAGACCAGGCTATTTCCTTGTTACTCCCCTGTTTAGGGAACATGTATGAATCCAGTATGTCAGGATTACGCTACATTGCCATGAAAACCATTGATTTGATTAACCTGAAAACATCAGTGATGTGAGAACTGCTTTTTTAAGGATGATTTTATATATAATATATATATATTTATTTATTTATTTATATATTTAAAAAAAAGAAACTGGAGGAGGCCCCTAGAACCCTCTTCAACTCACGGTCTCACTGGTGTACGTAAAATGTTTACGTGTGTGAATGTTGCAGTCAAGAATTGAATTGAAGTCGTGTCTGTAATCAGTCTGTTGTTGACGTTTTATGTTGTTGATGCAATGGCATTTGGACAGCACTTTTCACACTCACAGGCCCTAACGAATAGTTAATAATTATTTCACTGTTCATTGCCCTGTATTAGAGGCGTGAATCACAGTCCATATTGAATGTGCCGGTACCAGCTGTGACGTCACACTTCCGGGTGTGAGGCTGAGACAACGCAAATGTATGAAAAACGTATAAGATAAAGGATAATTTTTGCCGGAATCAATTTCAAATTGGCATTAATTGATCATCTGTCTTGCAATTTTTATATCCACAAATTATTGGACAAACCCTGCATAAGTGAGGTGAGGTGGGATGTACACTGGCCACCCACGCTGTGCCTACCTGCATTTGAAGTCACACGAGCCAGCTGCAAGCAGAATGTTGTTGGGGTGCCAGTCCAGGCTGAGGATGGTTGAGCGAATGGGCTTTTTGATGTGTTTACTCACCCACCTGCAAGAGATGGGATGAGAATAGAATATCTCTGAGCCCCACAAGCTTAACCTGGAGTACTCAGAACTCAATATGTCTTGCTTCCGTCATCAATGTGTGAGATTTGCTCCAATAACATTGTAAAGCACTTTGGTTGACCTTGGTCAGTAAAATGCTATGTATAAAGAGTCCTGACATCAACATCGATGACACACTGAGGTACGTTGGCTGCTTCATTCTCAATTTACAAAATAAAACAATGGCCAGCAGATTGACCGTAAGACACCATTGCATTATTGTAATAAGGCTGGAAAGAAATGTCAATTATGATTCTCCTGGTTTGGAGGTTTGAAGTATGCTCACCAGCAGACTAAACTTTTAAAAACATCCTATACCCTAATTCAGTGTCTCCCAAAGTGGGGTCCGCGGCCCCCTGGTGGGCCGCGAGGGTACTGCAGGGGGGCCGCGGGAGGTCATAAAAAAAAAAAATAATAATAATATAATTATTTATTGTTAAATTTATAATGTTTTGTTTGTAATATTAAAATATTTGTGTTCATTATTTGACTTGAATAATCCACTGTAATCATTTTTGTATTACAATGTTTGTAGCAGAGGCTATTTCCCCAAAATAAAATAACCAGAAGAGCCTATTCTTAATGTTGTCTTCTTGGTTATTATTTTGGGGGGCCACGCAGACCCTTCAGATTTTTAAGGGGGCCTCGGTGTTACTGAGTTTGGGAATGGCTGCCCTAATTGTACACTACCCACTTATGGTTACAGACCATAGAGTGAGAGCAAGAGAAAGAGAAAGGTTAATGATCAGTACCGGTGTATACTGTGGAGATGGCTCAACAGATGTGGCTGTGAGCTTTGACAGGTCTGCCTTTACATGTATGCCACAAGTCCTGCAACAATCTCTGCTCTTATATGCAATACTTTGTCTGAAACCTTTTTTTTTTTTTTTTTTTTTTTATTTGTCTGGGCCATTACTTTCATGAGTGGAACAGAACACTGCTGTTCACGGTGCTGGTCAACAATAATTGACCAGATTAATAAAAATTAAAAAATTGATCGTTAATCGTTAGATGCAGCTCTAAATTGTAATATCTTAAACCAGTTGTGCAAACTACAGAGGCTGAATTCCAGTGACCCGTCATAGTTTATGTTTAAAGCCTAGCGTACATCGACAGAGAAACTGGGGACAACTAGTTGCAAGGCGGCTTTTGGCAACTGAGAGGAGATGGTGGGAGATGATCAGTTGCTGAAATCGGTCGATGTGCGCGCTCTTACAACTTGGAGATAAACAGTCGGTCTCCAGTTTCAGTCAGTTGCCCGTGTTCTACTTTTCGGCAACTAGTTGTCCTCAGTTTCGGAGATATGACCCGATGTGCGCGCTCCATGCGCCGCTCCGACAACGTGTGTGTATTGCGTGTATTGCGAGCCCGCAACAGTTTATGTCAGAAAACACACTGAGTCGATGTACGCGCTGTTATTCCCGAGACTGGTCTGCTACTGGGAGTTGCCCGTTTTCGTCATATTGTCGATGTGTGCGGGGCAGCAACTCGTATGCGACGGATATAATCAGTTGCCAGTCCGATGTACGCTAAGCTTAACAGAGCTGAGATTAGCCTAAAGCTGAACAAAGTGCCCCTCCCTAAGTTAATAACACTGAATTTCTTTTACAGTATTCAAGAAATATGAAAATTAAGACTGACAGACCACAACATCAAACTTGCTCAACCCAATGAAATAGTACAAAAAAAAATCTAACAAGGATGTATAAAAAAAAAAAAAACTTCTTTCATAGTAATCTTCTAATTAATATACTCAGTTTTTCAGACCATGGTCACCCAAAGCGCTTTACAATGTTCAGAATTGAGATATCCATAGTACTTAATAGTAATACCATCTAGCTCATGCGATACATTGTGTATTGTTAGCATTGCGCAAGTCCTGCACTTGTCTGACAAGTACTTTCACTTTAACAATGCTGAAACCTGAAGCAACAGTCATTAGCCAACTGCAATGTTGTCAACGTATAAGAAAAAACAAGGCATGTTTTGTGAAAAGGAAACAACTACATGATGCCAAGCTGTAGGACGCTGACCTGACCAGTGTTAGGAAATAAAGAAATATGCAAATACACAGGTTATTGAAGAGGAGGGACTCAAAGCATGGGGATAAATTATATTAGATTATTGCATGATCTTGAGAATCTTTATGATGCTTTGGAACTTGAATGAAAACACTAGGCTGAGAGCTTGGGAAAAAAAAAATCATTGTCTGCATTCCTCAATTCCTCCATGTCAAAGATTTTGCTGATTAACGGTATAAATGAGTGTCCAATAGTGTTGTCTACATATCCTGGTCATAATTTGTCACTTTAGTGCAAATTAGTTGAAAGATCAACTTTCTGCATAAAACCGTCTGTGAGGCGCCATCTGCAGGCGACATGCATTTACTAAATTGGAATTTTGAATATGGCGCCAACATTGGCGCAGCAGTGATACCTGACGTCTGCAGTGATACTTCACGTCTGCAGTGAAGGCTGACGTCAGTTGCCCTGCCGCTCAGTGAGCGTGAACGGCCCAGTCTCGTTCACGCCCTCCTAGCGAAGGAAGGAAGGAATAGCAGTATTCTCATCTGTTGTCAGGTTTGCGATTAGTTATAGCATTTGGGTAGGTTTTTGTCAGCATAGCTGTTTGTATTATTAATAATTGCGTAGTGTTAATAGCGTTGTTGTTGACTATTGTAGTTTTAGTCACTATTGCTTTTAATGTCAAGTGCCAATCACAGCCTAGACCCGCCCAACATTCCCCTTGTCTTCCAGGCTACGCCCATTTGGAGGAAGATTTGAACAGGAAATGTGAGTGACGTAAACCTCGAGGAGCAGGGGTGAGAAGTTCTTTAAATGCTTGAAAAGTATGGCTGCACAATATTGGAAATTAGAGCGATATTCGATATGAGTGTTTAGTATTGCGATAAAGATATTGCGATATTTTCTTTTTCTTTCACCTAAAATTGCAATCTGCATTGAAACGCAAGAGACAAATACCAAAAACATTAATGACATTCAAATGCATATATTAATTTCCTTTGTTTGTTGAATGTGGATGTGTGTCTGTTTTGTTGTCTTTTGTAGAGGGTAAAAAAATATATATATATAATTTTATTTAAAACATTTAAATCACGCATATTTTTTATATGGATATCGCACTCACCAGTATCGCAATAACACATTTTTTTTTATATATTGTGCAGCCCTATCAAAAAGACATAGTATGTTTATGTTAATGTTATACTAAATACTGGGCATGATGAGAAACTACTTCCACAATCATTCATTACAATGAGATAAAAGTCAAGACAATACCATCAGCCATGTTCTCACTTACCAGTCGTTTTCCGACTCAAAGTAGCATACGGAGATGAGGCGCGCTCCGCTGCCCACCGCAAACTTGTTTTCCATGGGAGACCACTTGACAAAGGTGGCGGCACGGTTGATCCTGAGAATGACCAGCGTGGGCTTCCATACGCCCTCCTTCTGCGACCACACATACGCATTCCGGTCAGCGCCACAAGTCACAATGCGGTCACTTTTAGGGGCCCAGTCGATGCCTGAAAAAAAGGTCATGCAGTAGATATGAGTGTGCAATGGTGGAGAAATAAATAAATGTCACAAAACAAATACTATATAAATATGTGTTTATCAAAATGTTGCAGTATGTTTTATAACTTCTAATTAGAATTAAATAACTTCATATTAAAATAATGGAAACCTGTTATGTGGCCGTTGTGCTCCTTCAACTCCTGAGTCTTAGCCCATGTGTTCCCACTTTTCTTGTAGATGTGAACTTCATGATTATTGGGACTGATGGCAATTTCTGAGGGGGAAAACAGTTGAAAAAACAACAGTCACTCATGCAAGTGATAAACTTGTTTAACTGGTTTCTGTCAGTGGAATCTTGTTGAATATAATTACATTTTAGGTCTAATTTTGCCACATACGTTTTGCTTTCACATTTCTAACATTGATTTGCATCTCCATAAAGAATTAACTACTGAGATATCATCCAACTTATTGTGAACAAAGGCAGTTCCATGGGTGACTCAGTGCAGAGGCTGAATGGTCTAGCAGACACGCCCACTGTTCCCATTGGTCATTCTCTGATCCAATCAGAGGGTAAAATTACCAGACAGGAGGAAATAAAAAAGTACTCTTAAGATTCTAATAATCAGAGGTTGGGTCCCAAGAGCAGGGGTCTAGAGCAAATTGTTGGTAAAAGTAGAAAAAATACGATCAAAAAAGGTGGTGAGAGGGATTTGAATGTATAAATGGCTCTTTTCATCTGTCTACCCACCAGATTCTTCCCTCCATTCATTAACGGAATTTGACGATTTGCAGTACCATTTTTCCATGGTAACTTGCCATCTATAACATATCATCCAACTAATGATTTAAATCTTATTGCAAAGCCAATTCTAAATGATAGATTTAAGTGTGTTTTAGAGAATAAGAGTGCTGGAATTCAATATTTTATAATTAAAAAAAAATCAGTTGGGTGGAATGCATGTAACAATATAAATTACAATTTCTACTGAATTTAGTAAATGATATGTGGAACAATATAATTTGGGGCTCAATATATATGGCCAATACATTTGTGACTTAAGCTACTGAGCTTAACCTGTGTCAGACTAAAATTACTTCATTGCAAAATATTTTACAATGATTGTGGTTAGTTATTATAGGACAATGTCTGAACCATGACTTCAACAACTGTAAAATTAAAATATGCTACAGCAGGTGTGTGCGCGCACAAACCTTTTAGTCTCCCAACAAGTAAACAAACATGCGATGTAAATCTAATAATAAAATATTTTATATCTTGCATATCAATTCAATTCATAAATATTTATTATTTATTGTTTATTTGTTTGTACTGTTTTTTTTTCTTTCTATTCAGTTGTTTTGTTGCTGTTCCTTGTTCTTGTCTGACATGGCTCGAAATAAATGTTACGAGCGAGTTACACAGAGAAATTCTAATCCTTAGTTCGTTCAAATAAAACCACACAAAAATGAATTATGGCCCAGTCCCAATACCCACACTGCACCCTACGCCCTCCTATGAAGTGTGCATTTGTTTGAAGTGCGCGCAAGGGTTTGAGTGCGCAGGTTGCAAGCGTGCACAAAAGGTGGAATTGGGACATTGCACACTGAGTGCAGGTTACGTCATCGACTCGTCAAGAGATGGTCATTTTCAGACCTAAACTTTATAAAAATTAAAGGTAATTTTGTCTGACCCTTTGGGAAACAATATGAATTGCTTCACACACGTTATAATACATTTATATTAGTTGTTTTTAATTAGAGATAGCTGTATAATTTTAAGTTAAATGTGGGTAACTAACTATCTGGTCAGTTTTTATACATTCTAAGATTATTGTACTAAGTGTAAAGTTTAAATTGAATGTTATATAAACGCTTGCTTTAAAAAGTTATTAAATTGTTAAAGCACAATGTCCGTAATTCTTCATCAGACGTTTATGCTTCTTTCCAAGTAACATAGCAAAACTTATTTACACACATACTGCATATATATTTCACAATTTATATTTAATTGCATTTTCCCGTCGTTTTGGTGTGTACCGCAAAGAATTATGGGCAATATCCTTCGCCAGAGTGCGCATAGATGCAGGCTACGGCGAAGTGTGGATCAGGGGCGCAAAGGGGGCGGGGCCAAATACCTCCCTGGAGAATTGGGACACCCTACGCACTCGCACCCTTTATCGGGAACGCGCAAATGAGGGGCGCGAGGGTGGAAGTGCGAGTATTGGGACGGGGCCTATGTCTTCAGGCTTTGCAGTGGCCTGAGGAGGATGTTGTTGAGGAAGTGATTGTACTGGTGGGGGTCGCACGAGTTGTGTCGTCAAGTTCCACTGCCCACTACTGGCCGGGAGCTAGAACTATATTCTTTTCCATTGTCTTGTAGACACTGAGCACTTCGAATAAGGGGCCTGGTCGTTACTGCAAATTGCTTTAGAGAGCGTCTCCGCAGCGTCTCAGTCTAAACGGGGCCTAACATACCCCAGCTTAATTATTGATTAAAAGTTCTTTTGGCAACTTAAATCCCTGACGTCACCCTATTGACAACCATGACCTCACTGCTACGTGATCCTGACAGAGAAGCCAAACTGTGTGGAGAGCCTTACGCGTCCTGTCGCGGTTCCATGCATGGCAGGTGATGGGCTCCAACAGAAACTGGTGCAGGGACATCTTGCCTTGGGTGTGGTCCTTCACTTCAACTCTGCCAAGTCACACACACACTACAGCATTAAGTACTAGTAGAGCAGTAACAACCAAGAGCCCCATTCATTTGAAATGTTTCCCTCACCACCCTGAAAGTGACAGACTGATATTCACAACAATAACAAGACATTTACCCGGAAGATTAACCAGACCTGAATTGTAATATATTCTCTTTACATCGCTCCTTTACTATCACATTACTGAGTAGACGGCGTCAAAATGTAAGCATGAAAGAGCATTCAAATAGGATTGATTAGGCTCCAAAATTGCAATTACCAGTGCGATCGTTTCGAAGGCAAAACATGTTTTTGTTTTTATTAAACATGTAAACGACAGAAATAATATAACAGATTGCAAGCATCTTACCAAGCTCAGTTAACCTACTCAAACATGTAATCATTAGTAAGAAAGGGTTAACTACATGCTGCTAGCTGACAGCACTATGTGTAAAGTGAGGCCTCTGTTTAGCTGGGGTGAAATATATTACAATTTAAACACTGCCTCGGTGAATCTAACTATTTTATACGGACACAATTTTTCCCCTCAACGCACTTCAGTGGCAGCAGCACCCAACATTCCGCTAGCCTTATGCTAACGATGCTAACTCACCGTCAGCTAGCTAACGAAGCTTTTCGCCCCGGTCCGCCGCTCTCACACAGGCGGGGAATGCTTGAGGGTGGACACGTATTCGCGGACTCTGGTCAGTCCACACGAATCCGTCCAGAGGAATGCTGGGGGGAATATCAAGAGGGGCGGCAGGAGCAGCAGCGTGTGACCCGGTGCATCCGCTAGCTAGCTAAAGCGGGCTTTCGGCAGCAGCAGTGGAGATGAAGCTACGGGGCTGACAGCTAGCTTAGCATGTTCAGGTTGGTGGTACATTCAGAGTGGACAGGCCGGTCGAGCCGAGAGGAGAGGAGCTGGACCGCGGAGCAGGGGCTGGTTCAGGGCGCAGACACCCAGTGGGAGTCACCGATGAGGCAGGCAAAGAGGGAGAGGCCACCGCTCAGTCTGTGGATCTTAGAAGAGCGACATCTAATGGAGCCAACGGGGAACTGCATCTTACACACTGAGGTTGACCGTGTTGAGAGCGGTTCAAAGGCACATTACTGTCAGTAAGAATCAAAAGAGCTCCCAAAAACAAAATAGAAAACAACTGTGAATTTAAACGATTAAACCCGTATTGTACATTATTACTACAGGTAAATGGAATGCTCTATTTTGCAATGTATAACTATCCGATGAGATGAATGACTGAATGTTCATCACTCGTTCATATGATTACTGAGAGGCGGCCTCTAGTGGGAAAAAGGAGCTTTTGCTGCCACCAATTTCCAGGTCCAAATCTATATTTATAAATATGTACTAAAAGCAGCCACAAAATATAGGGATAGTCATTTTCAATCACAAAATTCAGTTTTGGACAAAATTGTCTACTGTAGGATAAATAAAGGTTAATCTAAGTGTTCCCTCGTGTTGCCAGAGAGGAAGAAAAACATAACACATTATTCCTTCCTGTAACTGGCTTTGCATCTTCAAGAAAATGTAATTCCTTTGGCGATAATCTTCCACAGGTTTCACTGAGCTCCTCTCATCAAATACTTTAAAATGTCAATGTCCAATGTTCAAATATACACTTATGGGGGCATGAAATGAAATAACCTTAATAAAAATGTAACTATTAGAATTGTGTCTTTTTACATTTTTCAGGTGGATTTTTGCGATTGGCCTGTGCTCCTCCCAGTATAGCCTACCACAGTTGAGGTTCATTAGCACACACCTGTTGGCTGCACTGGTCTCCTCTGTCACCACCATCTCAATGGAGGGTCCAGTGGAGGAGCTTGTGCCCACCCCGCCCTCTTACATCCAGCCTGGTACAGTGCTGCTTTTTGCCTATGTGCAGATTAATTATGAAAGTGACTGTATGTGTGATGTATTGTAGGTACGAATGAATTGGATGTGCGCTTCTACAGCATTCAGATGCCGTTCAGTCCCATGCCTCCTCCCTCCTTCTCATTCTCTCCAGCTGGTAAGTTTACACCCTTTTGAGGCAGGGGCCTAAAATGGTAAGAAAAGACACTCGTTCACGTCAAACTTCCTCATGAATTCAGATCCACAACGTCTCTTGGGACAACACTTCTATTCTGACTGGATGCAGATAATTGTGAAGTTAAAATTGTGTTGTAAATAGTTCTGTTCAACTAGTTTGCAAACATGTAGGTTGTAGTGAGGGTCATGGTTTCTGGGCTGGGTACAAGCAAATGGTGACTGATTTTAAGGCAATACACATTCAATCAAGCAAGAAATAACTTTGGAACCACTAAATATTGAACTATGTATAAGAATGTAGTTCCTGGCTCAAACAGTTTTGGTTTTGTAGTTTTCACATGCTTGTATTTTTGTCCTGTATCACATCTTAGAATCAGCCTTTTCATACAGGAGAGTAAAAAAGAGAAGACCAAAAATTGTTTTGAGCTGAGACACATTCACCTCTCTGCCCAATGAGTAAAATGGTGACTCACTCTGTTACAAGAATGCAAATTATAAAATGATTGCTCTTTAAGGTGAAGACCGCAAGCATGTTGTAGTCAGAGTTGTTCATGAAAAAAACATAAGCATATAACAGATTAGACTTCTGCTTTCACAATGGATATTGGGGCGGCACAGTGGTGTTAGCGCTTGTGCTTCACATGTCATGTCATTGTCTTCCCCTTTCTTAATCCATTTCTTGGGGGGTAGTGGCAATCAAAGCTGCCACCCAAGTCTTAAAGCACCAGTCCCTCTCTATCCTCCCACAGGTGGTGGGCTTTCAGGGGGGCTTCAGGCTATGTGGGGTTAAGTGTCTTGCCAAGGGACACAATGGCAGCAGACATCAGTGGGGGCAGTTGACAGGGGTCTTGGTGATGTCGTTAGGCAACCATTAGGTCCAAAGACCAGTGCTCTACCAACTGAGCTACAACCCACCAAATAATCAAATAAAATAAAACAAATTTTTAATCAAATACAAATCATAGAGTATATATCCTGTAAGAACCAAAAGCTAAAACCACAAACATAATTGTGTTTAGAGATAGATCAGCCTTTACAAACAGAAAAGTTAGTGTGGTCTTTGTTTCCAGTTGCGGTTAGGACTCCTGCAAAGCATGTATTCATCAGCTATGAGAGCATCCTTGGGCGGAGCCCTGGTTTGACCACGTGTCCGTCATGCCAGGTCCGGGTCACCACAGAGGTTACCTACCGGGCAGGGATACTGGCCTGGGGGCTCTGTGTCACCTGCATCATATTGGGGTGAGTGATGAGAGCAACAATAATACAAATCAGGCCTATTCACTCACTCACTCGAGCCAATCTTGAGCTCAACAGACAGCTTTGAGTGCTGTCTGAGACATCTAAAGTTGCATTGGTGGTAAAGGAGTCTGGAGATGTCATATAGTTGTGTTTGAAAGTTTCCACATCTAGGCAGATTTCATTTTTGGCCTGATTTCATGGATAATGATTAATGGCACAAATACTTTATTGTTAATGATTATCTGAAGCCAAATAAACAAGTTTCCTACTTATAAAGTTATTACACTCCATACCTTTTTAAAAAAAGGTATGGAGTGTAATAACTTTATAACTTTATCTGGCATTTAGTTAGGATGATGCATCAAACTGTTTCTGAGCAGAGGCACTATAGGACTCGTGGTGCACCAGCCCGACTTGTTCAAACTGGCGTAGGTGCTAAATCCACTTAGTCTTTTCCGCTTCCCACAAAATGTTGAACAGCAATTTCTCCCATGTACAGTAAGGCATTTGTGTGGTTTCTTTGTTTGATATAGGCTGGTGCTGGGCTGCTGTGTGATCCCGCTGGTCATAAACTACTTTAAAGACTCCTACCACACCTGCCCCCGCTGCAGACGAGTGCTGCACGTGCACAGAAGGGGCTGCTGTGACTGAGCAACTTTTTAGACTGGAGCCTTTTTAAGGGTTTTAAATGTTGCATCAAAATAATAAATGTATTGTTATCCACCGGCTATCTTAAATTCTTGAGACACAAGCAGTATCAAAGTGTTTTTTGTTTTTGGATCCAGAAAAACCCTACAGAAATGGGAAGAACGTGCAAACTCCACTCTAGTCCATACCCAGGACTTTAACGCTGAGCAGCAAGAATGCTACCATCATTCCCCCATCGGTAACGATGTAGCCACAGTGTCCTTGGGTAATTTTTGTGTACTGTAGTTAAACGTCTTGGAATTTGATTTTTAATGGCATCATACTCAAAATTGTTTGGTTCCTCCTCTAGCTTTCACATGTATTTTGGGCCTCAGTCACATCACTGATCGGCTTTTCAGACAGAGAAGTGAAAAAGTCAGGACCACCCACCCTCACCCAGTTATCTCAAAGCCACTGGCAGAACTCTTAGTTTTCAAAGAATAACACATTTTATACAGTTGAAGACTGCATATCATGGTTGGATTTGTTCATTGTTGTTTTACTATTTGTGTGACAAATAACATGGAATATTTATGAAAAAAGGTTAGGTACCCTGGCTTTAAGCCAACAAAAGTAATTGAATAGCAGAAATTTGATTTCTTTCGCCTTCCAGGAGTGCAAAGCACACCCCGTACCCCAAATAAAGTAGATTTTATATATATTTATTATACGGCTCCTCACAGCAGCAGTAGAATGCTCCATTGATTTGAATGTAATTTCAAAACGTTCTACCGGTCATTATTTTCTATAATGGACCTCTCAAAACAATAATGACCGCTGCCCATGGCAACGCACTCTCTGCTTGTATTTCAAATGTGTGGATAACTCCGCAAGTAGTTCCGGCAAATCCTGAGCTAGCCACGCTCAATCAGCACACTTAAATGTTAATCGGAGAATACTTATACATATACATTCTTCACACACATGCACGAAAATTTTCAGAATTTTCTGGTCTTGTCTTCATGACAAAAATACTATTTCTCTGCGTCAAAAAGCGATCGTAAAAAACCCTGAAGTAGTTCTGGCCGCTCAATAAACGCAAATGCCAATCAATCAACGCAATGAAATGTTTATCGGAGAGTGAATTATACATATCCAGTCTTAATACAAGTGCACGGAAGTTTTCAGAATTTTCCGTTTACGTTTTCATGACAAAAACACTGATGTAATGCGAGAAAAGGCGATCCCGAAAAACCCGGAAGTAGATACCGGCACATTTTCGGACACATTTGCAGAGGATCGAATTATGGATTTAGGTTAGGTTTTATGTATGGGTCACTCACCGCTGATGTTCAGAATTATTTGTTCAGTTTTCATGCAGTTCCAGAGAGTTCTAGTTTGGAAGTTGCCAGCCTAACTGTTGCTAGCAAAGCCACACTGCCTGCCCGCGGTTGCCGAGCAACGGGAAAACTTTTTGGGACTACTTTATTTGTTGTCATTAAATAAACTTTTGGCATTCATAAAAGTGATCTGAAATTTATTTTGTGTGTTAAGTTGGTACAAAGCAGTATAATAAGCGGGATAATGTATAGCATACAGGTCATTATCGGAAAATAAGTACCGACAGGGCGAAGCGGACCCCGGCGCCCTGAAGGTACTTATTTTCATATATATTTTTTATATTTTCTTTTTACATAAATGTGCATATTTTCTACACTCTTTAGTTGTGAGTCTTTGATAGTGGTCCTACACCAATGAAGTCTGTCCTAATGATTACCTGCATGTGATCCTGTTCTGCAGGATTATCACACATGCAGTTATTTTTGATCTTTGAGCTGTGCGGTGAAGGGGCATGTGCACTTTATTTTTACATGAACAAACGTACGTGCCACAAACCTTATGAGGCTTCCAAATAGTCTTTTTGGCCGACTTCCATGCTGAACTGTCGCAAAAACGGAGCGTGAGGCAGGCAGTTTCTGAATATTTATAGGCGTGACTTTCATAAATACGCTAACAGCCGCGTATGCTCAGATCTGTGCGGATCTCCTTTCTCGTGCGTATTTGGAATATACACCCAAAATATACACCCTTTTCTGCGCAACTTTCATAAATGAGGGCCAATGTAAACTGACTTTTGTAGGGTGTGCTGTTCTGGCATTTTTTAGTCCCATTAAAATAATTTTTTTTTTTTTCAATTGTTCTGACTTATGGGCAAAATTATGGTTTCAATGGCACCTGATACAAAATTTTAAAGCATTTGAGTTTACGCACGCAACCGTCACGGCGACCCCGTGCACTCACCGGTGTGAAAGCAATAGGCCCTTACCCCAGTCGGGGCTCGGGCCTAAATATGTAGAGAATGAATGCTGAGGATGCACACTTGGCTTTCTATTTGTACTAAAACAGCTTTGTGTTTGTGATGGAACTTAACTACATGTTATTTTTCCTTGAAATAAGAATTGTATAGCTGTACATTGGCAGCTTTACTGTTTTTGTAAATGGGGATAGGCGCAATAAACTTTAGCTTCTGCCTATTCCATTTCAGACAATGTGTATACATTGTCTATTTAGATTAAATTAATGTTAAAATGTCTGATTAAATCAAATCTGAATCTGGAAAATAAATGTTTGCAGTCACTACGAGACAACAGTTCATGGAGTATACTTTACCATAACCATTACTGAAATCCACACTAAATCCACCAAATGAGCATGAGGGAAATGCAGCTTTGAGAGATGAATCTGTAGAAATATGCATCGCCATTATTGTGTCAAATGAGCACTTAAACTATCCATCCATCCATCCATTTTCTTCCGCTTCATCCGTTGCCGGGTCGCGGGGGCAGCATTCTAAGCAGAGACGCCCAGACTTCCCTATCCGCACATACTTCCTCCAGATCGTCCGGGGGGACCCCAAGGCGTTCCCAGGCCAGCTGAGAGACATAGTCCCTCCAGCGTGTCCTGGGTCTTCCCCGGGGCCTCCTCCCGGCGGGACGTGCGAGGCGTCCAAGAGGCATCCGGAACAGATGCCCGAGCCACCTCAACTGGTTCCTCTCGACGTGGAGAAGCAGCGGCTCTACTCCGAGCTCCTCCCGTGTGACTGAGCTCCTCACCCTATCTCTAAGGGAGCCAGAGCCCAGCCACTCTGCGGAGGAAGCTCAATTCGACCGCTTGTATCCGCGATCTCGTTCTTTCGGTCCTTACCCACAGCTCATGTCCATAGCTGAGGGAGGGAACAAAGATTGACCGGTAAATCGAGAGCTTTGCCTTTCGGCTCAGCTCCCTCTTTACCACAAAGGTCCGATACAGCGACCGCATCACTGCGCATGCTGCACCGATCCGCCTGTCAATCTTATGGCGCCAGATTTACGCCAAAAGTCCACACGCTCAAATAATACATACACGCGCAGCTTTATTTAATTCACACGCGCGCAAACCAGTCTCCACGCGCATATTTCACCCTACACACGCGCAGATTCAGTACCACGAGCAACAATACGCGCGTGTGTGCGTTCGTGACATGCCTTCTCCCTGCTCGTGGTCTGTGTTCTGCGCGCGTTGAAAACTTTTGCCATCTCTTCTACGCGCGCGTGAAATATACTTTTGTTGCTTGGGGGCGGGGCCACTGCTTTCCAGGAATTCCCGCGGTTAGAAGATTTGGTTCAGAAGACGAATACTTGGTGAGCGTTTTATATTTATTTGATATATAAACATATTACAATGTAGGCTACGTCCTTCGTTCATTAGTTTTCTACTAAATTTCAGTTAAAAATGAGAAGAACTTAGTTACTATCAATTAATTAATTAAAATGATGGACATGGGCAAACAAGCAACGATTGGGACACCGGCGCGATGTTAGCTATGGAAAGACAGTTAAAAAAAAAACATTTGTATGACTATTTTAGGAGGGAGGTAGTTTTGTACTGTTGCCGTTTGTAGAAACTAAGGTGAGCGGCAGGTCATATTGGGGCAAAACAAATTGTGTCACTTTGGTGCTATAGTTTGAAGGTTGCCTAAATGAGCACCTCTGCTCAGTGTATACTTGCTATGATTACTTAAGTTGTCTCATATTAACATAAGTAATAATTTAATGAACAACTTTGACTATTTGAGTGATGTTTGACCAGGACTCACTTAACTATAAGTACAGTATTTCTACTGTATCCTCCATGATGATCCATGATTACTGAACAGGCATGTTAATGTTTATAATGTCATTGTAGCCTTAGTATGTATAAACATATGATCGTTTTTAAATTTGTGTGTAGACCAACAAACCACCACCACTTTTCCTGACTGAGATGGCTGTTGCAGGACCTCCGAATATCCATGTATGTATGTCTGAAAAAGAACAGCTAATTTACGAATGTCTAGATGAATATAAGTTACTCAAACCAAGTCTCCTTTGTTCTAGGGCTTTTTGCGACAAGAGCTCATGACCAGACTCCAGTCAAAATTGGAGTTAGCCCTGGGAAGGATGCCCATTGACCTTGACTTTTTGGAGTTTGCATGCCGTCAGGAACTGTACCTCTGGGAGGCACTGGCTAGGCATGTTGATATCCAGCCAGAACTCTTGCATGCATTAAGGGACATTCTTGCAGCTGTTATATCACGCAGTGATTTTCAAAACACAGCAACAGGTACCACTGTGGAGACTATAGTTGGAGAAACGGGACGTCCAAGGTACCACATTGAGGAGGAAAGACTTCTGGAGCTTCTGGACATGAATTTACCTGTAAATAGTATTGCAAGGTTATTGGGTGTTTCACCCAGGACAATTCAAAGAAGGATGAGTGACTTCGGTTTGGCTGCCAGACAGCGATACAGTGACATTTCGGATGAAGCACTGGATGATGCAGTGAAACTTGCAAAGAGTGAAATGCCCACTGCAGGGTATCGGATGGTAAAAGGCAGACTTATGTCACAGGGCATCTGTGTGCAGTGGCGAAGAATAACTGCTTCAATGCACCGTGTTGACTCTATTGGAATTTTATCAAGATTGATGGGGATGGGCTGTATAGTTCGAAGAACATACTCTGTGAGAGGCCCACTGTCACTATGGCATGTCGACACAAACCATAAGCTAATTAGGTGACTATTCTTAATTGCTTGTTAAAAATAAGAAACTTGTGCATGTTTACTATAATTGTTTCATATGTCCAACAGATTCAACATAGTTCTTTTTGGCGCTGTGGATGGGTACTCCAGGAAAGTAAGTTTGCTGTACCTCTTGACTTTTGAAAGTAGCTAATTAAAGGCTCAATATGTGACCATTATGTTGTTAGGTAATGTGTCTACAAGCTTCAAACAACAACCGTGCTTCTACTGCGTTTTCATCCTTCAAACAGGCAACTGAGCAACATGGTGTGCCCTCTAGGTAAGTAAAAGTGAACTAATAGGGCGAGCTTGTTGTTATGTTTGAAAAAACAGAAAAGAAGGATCAATTAATGCAGTATATTGTTTTTGTAACTTGTAAGCTTTTCATTTCCGTACTTTTTGGACCCTCCTTTGTGATCTGTAATAGCAAGTAAATTTCTTCATAGTAAATTCTACTCACCTTTTATTATTTTGAATGAAAGGATTGTCACAGACAGAGTGGCAATATAACATTCAACTATGTTTCTGCTTAGGGTCAGAGGTGACCAGGGTGTGGAGAATGTGGATATAGCACGGTTTATGTTCAATGTTCGAGGGACTGATCGAGGAAGTTTTATTTCAGGAAAAAGTGTGCATAATCAAAGGTAAAATGCATCTTAATCAAGTACATACTTTGATGTAATCATACCTAACTTTAATTGATTGACTGCGGAACCTTCCGCAGTCAACCATTGGTTTTGTATTTCTTTATTCCGTCATTTTTTTTGACACGTTTCACAGCTTTCACATTTTCAACAATTTCCACAAGTTATACATCAAAACGTTCCACATGTTTGGGAGATTATTGCTATTACTTTTGGGACTTCAGCGATTTCCGGTTTTTCCGCAATCGGACAAAAATCTGCATTGAGAATTCTGCAATGCATTTTAATAGGCCCATGCATTTTAATAGGACTTCAGCTCTTTCAGACATTTCTACAGTTTCAATGATTCAACAGTTTCAAGGATTCAACAGTTTCAAGGATTTCAGCAGTTTCAAGATTTCAAGAGTTTCAAGGACTTCAACAGTTTCAAGGACTTCAGCAGTTTCAAGGACTTCAGCAGTTTCAAGGACTTCAGCAGTTTCAAGGACTTCAGTGTAATCATGCAACCTAATAGGGATTTTTCCATGTAAACCAGTATAATGCAACTTAATAGGGATTTTTCCATGTAAACCAGTATAATGCAACTTAATAGGGTTTTTTCATGTAAACCAGTATAATGCAACTTAATAGGGTTTTTTCCATGTAAACCAGTATAATGCAACTTAATAGGGGTTTTTACATGTAAACCAGTATAATGCAACTTAATAGGGTTTTTTCCATGTAAACCAGTATAATGCAACTTAATAGGGTTTTTTCCATGTAAACCAGTACAATGCAACTTAATAGGGATTTTTCCATGTAAACCAGTATAATGCAACTTAATGGGGATTTTTCCATGTAAACCAGTATAATGCAACTTAATGGGGATTTTTCCATGTAAACCAGTATTATGCAACTTAATAGGGATTTTTCCATGTAAACCAGTATAATGCAACTTAATAGGGATTTTTCCATGTAAACCAGTATAATGCAACTTAATGGGGATTTTTCCATGTAAACCAGTATTATGCAACTTAATAGGGGTTTTTACATGTAAACCAGTATAATGGAACTTAATAGGGGTTTTTACATGTAAACCAGTATAATGCAACTTAATAGGGATTTTTACATGTAAACCAGTATAATGCAACTTAATAGGGATTTTTCCATGTAAACCAGTATAATGCAACTTAATAGGGTTTTTTACATGTAAACCAGTATAATGCAACTTAATAGGGATTTTTCCATGTAAACCAGTATAATGCAACTTAATAGGGTTTTTTACATGTAAACCAGTATAATGCAACTTAATAGGGGTTTTTACATGTAAACCAGTATAATGGAACTTAATAGGGGTTTTTACATGAAAACCAGTATAAAGGATAACAGTTTAAAGGATATCAGGAGCTTCAAATACTTCAGGAGTTTCAAAGATGTTTAAAGTATTTTAACAGTTTCAAGGATTTCAAGGATTTTTCAGCTAAATTCCACATTAGATCTGTTCCGCAGTCAATCGCAATGGCTTCAGCCATTGCAACGGTTTCTAGTTTTCTTTTAACATTTGTTTCTAGAATTGAGCGTTTATGGCGGGATGTCAGGATAAGTGTGATCTCGTCTTATTATGATACACTTCACAGCTTGGAGAGAGAGCAGCTTCTTGATGTGTCCTCTCAAGGTTCTGAAAGACGTTATTACCAATTTTTATTTCTTGGCCAATTTCATTTATTCATGTGTTTATTTTGTCTGTCTACAGAAGACCTGTTCTCTGTTCACCAAACATTCCTTCCACAACTCAATGCAGACCTGCAGGCATTTGTGGAAGGTTGGAACAATCATCCACTTCGTACAGAAAGGAACAAAACACCAGAGCAGTTGTGGCGCTTCGGACTTATGTGTAACCCAGTAAACCAGCCAGAGAACCTCCAGGTAAATCTTTTATTATGTAATTCATTTAGATAGTTATTCCTTCCTAGCCTTTGGATTATACCCAACATTTAGTAAATGTACATTGTTTTGTCTTAATCCCAGGACATTCAAGAGCCCGATATCGACTGGGATGTTGCTGCTGACTACACACCTGATGCTGACGGTGTTGTTGTGGTCCCAGAGTTTAACTGTCCCTTGGATGACGAGGCGTACACTAGACTCAAGTTGTACTTAGATGAAAACCGCGCGAACACGCGCACTAGAGAGCTCTACCTGTTGTGCAGAGAGTGTGTACATATGGGACAGTGAATTGAAGGCTGTCCTTATGTGATGTGGAAAAAAACTTAACATTATGCAACTATACACTGGAAGGTGTTTCTAGGGTTTGCCTGTAGATAGCAGTGTCACCTTTCTCAGATCTTTCTCTGAGAAAGGAACAAATTCACAATCTGTTCAGGTCACTAAGTGTTTTTCTTTCATATTTTCTTTAATATCTGAATTGTATTAGCAGCACTCAAAACCAAAGCCGAGTAGAGCCAGTAGTAGATAGGGGTTCTTTTTTGTTTTGGGAAGAGCTTAGGCAGAAGTGAATAAACCACACTTTGATTGTATTACAGCTCTGGTTGTTTATTCTCATTTTCAAACCAAACCAAACAAACCAAAAAACAAAGATACAATTCAACATGCAGAACTAATAGGTTTTTTAGTAGGTAGCTAGAACCTACTAAAATCACCCCCTCCTAAGACTGCCTGTGTGATATTCTTCTTTAGGTCACTGTACGTCATGAGGTGCTGTACTGGTAATGTTATTGATACCGCACAGGCGTTCACGATGGGGTAACAGACAGTGTGGGCTCCATACCGCTCTAGACAGTCATGTTCAAATGACACAGAGATTTCAAATGCCTCTTTCACTATCTATTAGTGGCACATGGGCTTGACCCGAAATCCACTGGAACAGACTTGTCACTGACAAAGGCTTCTTGACCTCAGCAGTTTGGTCGTTGTCCTCATCTTCCACCTCTGAGAAAGACAATATGTCAATGTGTCGTTAAAGGGTTATAATTTGTGCTCTGCATATGTTTAACAATTTCTTTTCAGGTCGAAATTATGGTTAGTTGTTAAATAGTAGAAGAAGGTCCTTTATTTATACACATATACACACAAAAGGCAAGCAGCGAACATTACTTCAGCACTACTTATAGGCAAAGTGGATTAAGTGTCTTGCCCAAGGACACAACGACAGCAGACAGCAGTGGGAGTCGGTGGAGAAGGTCTTGAGGTGGCTCTACCAACTGAGCCACTGTCGCCCCTAAATATCATAACAAGCTCTGAGTAGTGGCATGGCATGGTCCCCACTTACCCTCGTCTTCAAGACTTTGTAACAAATCCTGCAGGAAGTTTATTATATCAATTTCTTTTTTCCGTTTCACTGATCCCACATCACTGAACTGAGGACGGAGACTCTGCAGCAACCACTCTGAATCCACCTGCATTTTTAAAATAATTATGTAACTATGTTGCTATACACATGAAAATATTACTTATTTTGATATTTAAACAAAATAACAAATGGAAATTTCCCGTTTTCTGGCAATTTCTCCTTCCCCTATCTCTCTCTCGCTCCTCCCTTGCTCTCCTTTCTTCTTTTCTGTCTCCCTCTCCTTCTCCACTCTCTCTCTTTCTTTCCCCGTCTCTCTCTCGGGGTCCCCCCACTAAGAGCCAAATTTTCCCTGTACAACAGCAGCAGGAGCATAGTTCATTTCCGGCAGAAAATTTGACTTGTTGGTTACTTACCTGTTTAATATTTCCTGGAAGGAAGAGTGGCTGGAGTGTAAATGAGTGTTTTTGCAAAAGTTCATTGAAACCATAGATTGTCAGTCCCTCAAGGATCTGTTTAAGCATCGGCGCAAGTCTTGTGAGGGAATGAAGACGGATTGCACTATAGCAAAGGAAGGAAAGGCTTACTATATTGTTGTTGGTGATCATAAAAATCTGTATTAACTTACTTAACGATTTTCTCTTTGCAGTCCCTCTGTAGTCTTCCTGTGTATCCACAGGCCACAATGGCATCCAACAGCGTAACAAACGTGTCGTCATCAGCATCTTGGACCTCAAAAGATACAATACAACGCAATGCAATATTGTCAATACATCCATGAAATAAACATAACGATCTTTTTCACCAGTCATCTCTTCAATCTCTGCATCCTTTGCTCTTATAACCACAAAAATCCTGTGTGTCCACCTCTATTATCTGGACGGCATGGTGGCTGAGTGGCTAGCACTCGTCTCTCAGCAAGAAGGTCCTGGGTTCAATCCCGGTCGGACCAGGGCCTTTCTGAGTGGAGTTTGCATGTTCTCCCCGTGTCTGTGTTGGTTTCCTCCGGGTACTCCGGTTTCCCCTACCACTAAAAATATGTACAATAGCTCTGGCATGTGCCTCCTGTAATGGCCCAAAAATAACCATTGTAAACCGCTTTGAGGCTCTGGTTAGAGTGAAAAGGCGGTATATAAATAAACATTACTTACTATTACTTACTTACTATCCAGTCAACAAACACTCATTTGGCTTTCCCCCTGCATTTCATGACAATGGCTTGCCCTGCTCCTCTACTCATTGACTGCCAGCCCATTTCAAAACAGGTACTCTCATATTGCCAGCCATTTCTGATGGTTTTTACTGATTTTTCAAGACCCACAGAGTATTGTGTACTATGACTATCTGAAATCAAGATCCTGAAAGAATGGACTGTCTACTTTCATCAGCAAAAAGAATTTTCTTTTCTAGCTTGTTTCGTTCCCCTGTAACCCCCAGTCGAGAAGAGGGAAGTGTTATTAAAATCACCAGAAAGCTGAGAAAAAAGGGCCACAAACAGTGCATCTAGCTGTGTTCAAACCATTATGGCGCAATGCTGCCATCTGCTGGCTCCATAAAGTATTGCCTCAAGCCAATCTCCACATATTATATACAATAGACATCTGGGAACGTAAAAATAGGGAGAAACGCAATTGACGTGTTAACATTGGCAGACAACGTTACTATTTGGTTTGACGTGTTAACACGTCAATGGCAGTCAATGAGTGCCAGCATTAAAGCATCCACCCTATAGGTTAATACAATAAAAAGAGAACATTTTACCTTCTGGATTAAGCTGCTGATATCACCATCTGTGACCTCATCACACTCTAAGATTTCTGGCATTTGTCCACAAGCCAGGAAGCGGTAGGACCATGGACTCAAAAAATTTGGTGCTGGTCCTCCTTGCACTACACTGACAGCCATTATTTCTCCACATATTCTTTATTAAAAGAAAAAAAGACATTGGTGAAATATACCTTTGACCGATGCGCCATATTAATGGTATGTATTGTTCACCACAAAGAATTTGAACAACGTACTTGAATTTACTGTCTTGGTATGCTGAGATGCTATAGATAGGGTTTTTACCGGTGGCACTCCCTTCAAATAGCTGTGCCTCCAAACCTCGCATCATTTCTGCGGAAAATAATGTATCTGAAACACGCAACCTTTTGATCCTGAAAAAAGTCTATCAAATACCTGTGAGAAACTCCCTGCGAAGGGCTCCATCATCAATCCCCTGCTCCCCAATAAAGTTGATTCGCAAGGGGTTTGCTGGAGAAGCCGTTTTTTGCCTAACCCACTGTTTTAATCCCCTTTCAAAGAGGCGATCTCTTGTCACGTTCAGGACAAACAGTTTGCTCTGGTCAACTTGACCAGCAAGAGACCTCAAAATGTCTGACAAGCTAATGGAAAAAGGAAAAATAATTTAACATTGTGAAAGTATAATAGTATAGGCAAAGGTTCATTAGTCCCAGTTGAGGTATCAGACATGTCGACCATTGTCCCAGGGTCGTCTTTAGCAATGTGAAAACTTTGTTCACAAATGTGGAGCTTTAAGAGCAAAAACAGCAGGGGCTAACCTCTAAGACCCTCCTCTAAAGGCGGACTAGGTATCAATATTAACTATTCATACTGGGTGTCTGGAGCGAGGAAGAGCAAAGCCCCGTCCTAAAGCTGATTAGCATGACATTGAGAAGATTTCACTTGAGGTTTGGAAAGTTTCTGTACCAGTATATAGAGATAGAGGTTAGCTCCTGCTGGTTTTGCCCTTAAACAATAATTTTCTCATCGCTAAAGACAACATTGGGAGAAGGGTTGAAACGCCTGATTCCTCAACTACAGAGTACAGATGAAGATTGAAGAACCTTTGCCTTTATGATGGACAACTGTACGAATGAGAACCTTCACAGACCAAAGTATAATAGAGTACCTGTCAATCGATGGAGAGGTGGTCTCTGGGTTTAGTGTCTTTCTGTAAAGGTAAGATTAGGAGACATACAGCATATAGTTACGTGTGCATAAGTTTAAGTAACATACGTACTCATTCCCCTCGCACATGCTGGCATGGAAATGTATTTCAGCAGTTGTAAAATCTTCCCAACACAATGGGCAATGAACCTGGGTAATTTTAAACAGTCAAGATGTAACAACTATTAAGAACACTTGCTAACATTTCAAATCCATAATATGGTTCAGCGCTTGTTCTGTGCTGTATAGCTGCGCTCTTTTGGCACATAGCTTTTGCTATGTTTATTTGGCATTGCCATTTACTTACAGAAGTGAGAGAGGAATCCTCAGTTTGATCTGGTATCTGTAAAATAAAAATACTTGATAATGTCATCCTGATAAAAGCCTCAAATAAAAAGTAGGTCACCACATTCTGGTGATGCCAGAACTTGTAACCATGTGTATTACAAGTATTACAAGTATACACAATAATAATGTGTATTATTAGGTAATACACATGGGGGAAAGATGCTTTACTGCCAGTAAATTTACCTTACTCACAATACCAGTGTCCACAGCAATATCGGTCACCTACAAATTTACAGATGCATCACGCTTATTTATTTAAAAACTATGGGTGGTATCCTTACATGAGATGGCATAAACTCACCTCATCATCCTCCACCTGAATGATCTGATTGGAGGTCTAAAACAGAAAGTTGTGGACAGATTTCAAATGTGCTGAACTATCTGAATGACAACACTACTGACACACCCCTCCATCAAATAGCATACCCAGGAAACACACCAGTGATAATGCATAGTTGCTTCATTTTAAAAATCAATCACAGTTTTACATTTTTGGCACCCAATGTGTTAAGGTGTGTGGTGCAGGAGTAAAAGAGGGACAATAAAAATATAGCGTGATTACAATTGAGTTATAGACCTAACTACTCAAGAGAACACACCTGAGGGATTTTGGAGCAGGATTCTGCGTGCACAGAAAGAAGTTGGAGTGGGATGTAGTCCATGCATGTAGCACATTGTGCTTTTGGCATGGATTGAAACTCCTTTGATGTAAATGGCAAAGGAGTTGTATCCAGAACATGCTGAATAGGCATTATATATAAGCAACCCCTGCCTCCCCAGGCCTTCACTAAACTGCTGCCCATATAGCCTTCCTCCTCGGGCGTAATTACATTCAGGCGACGCTGGCCAGATCCTCCTTATGATTTCAAATAAACAGCATCATTAGATCTTCAAGTAAATTGAAACAGCAATAAATAAACATACTTTATAATCATACCCATTGCCTTGTGAATCAGCCAACCTCCTTCCAATTTTTCCATGCTTGGAAATGCTTCCATAAGAATCTCAGAGATCTGTAACATACATTTTTAATCATCAAAACCAAGAAGAAGACTACAATAGGTCAAGGTCATTTAATACAGATTAATAGTGAAAGGAATAAAATGATTTAACTTAAAAAGAAAGAAAAAGGCTTACAATATGATGAGACTCCACTGCAACATGTGTAAATTACCTCTTTATGAGTAGCATCTTCTGGAATGGGGACGGTCTTCTTCCCCATTCCAGCTTGCAAAAGAGTCATCTCTTCCGCAAGCGGTGGTGTCTTCTGAGCAGACTTACTTAAAAGCAGAAAAGGAACAGGTGTTCTTTTTACCCCTACCCTCTTTGCGACTCTTTTTTTTCCTTTGAAAAGACCTGGAAAACATCTAATAAAACAAAAGGACAAAACATAATTGCTGTGATACTACAAAATATATCATAATTCATTATAAAACATTTCAAAACACATTCACTAGGATGCACTAGGCATTGATGCGTAATATAACCATATACAATATAATATATATATATATATATATGTAATTATATATATATGTGTATATATATATATATGTGTGTGTAATCGAATGTTGGTTTCAATATCGCAAGATTTGTTTTGATATTTGACGTTATATCATTTATTCATTTCTTAATCGTGCAACGCATTCCTTCCTTGTATTGATTATTAAGAAGAAGAAGAAAAGATATCTGTTTGAACTGTATGGTCTTTATATATTTATTACCTTTCTCTGTATTGTTTTAAAGCTTCTATTTACACATTTTCAATTTTGCCAAACCTGGCCATGTTCTGCTGGGTAGCAGAGCAAGATGGTGCCTCCCTTGCCTCCCTACGAGTCTGTTGGCCTGTCGCCTGGCCTGCAGTAGCACCTGCTCCGGTACTCTGTCCCTGAACTTTATTTCAAAATACATTTAACATTAGAAATACTAAGTACAATCCTTAACAAAAACAAAGCAAGTATCCCTGTAAATGGTCATTGTAGCATTACATTTACCATCAAATCCCACTGACAGTGGAATTCGAAGACAAAACAAACATTAAACTAAAATATATGTGGTTTTAAGGAGAGTAAATATTACATACCATCACTTCTTATCATGTTGATAATGCTGGAAACCATGTTTCGTAGCTGGTCCTGAGAGAATAAAAGACAAATTACTTCAAAAGCAACAGAACTTGGCTCCAACAATTGAATAAGTGCAAATACCTCATTTTTATCCGACATATTTGCGAAAAACTGAACAAAAAAACAAAACATAATTAGAGACATACATACATACATACAAAATTTAGATATAAGACCATTGTGTCCTCTGTCCACACTATTAGCTATATAATGTACTAACTATTTCAACAATGCATCTTGGAAAATAGTGTCCATCAATCACTAAAACAGCAGGGGTTGTAGCTGAACGTGTGGTCTAGTTGGGACCACTGAGAAATGTGTCAATAAACGGAGTCGAGTCCACTATATAGTCAAGTGCAGGACTATAAAGTAAATAAATACGAGAATAGGGTGGTTAGAACAGTTAGCTTGTGAACCGTAGCTATTCGGCTCACAAGCTAACTGCTGTTAGCACAAACACATGATATGTATGTTTAATTAAGTGTACAACAGTACAATTCATTAAGAATTAAGTGTACTGTACAACTGCTCTCATAATAAGATATAGCCTCACATCCATTACTGCATTTATTTAAAACGTTTATAACATATATTAATTAAATATAAAACACTCACCAACTCTTGTCTGAAGTATTCGTCTTCTGAACCAAATCTTCTAACCGCGGGAATTCCTGGAAAGCAGTGGCCCCGCCCCCAAGCGACAAAAGTATATTTCACGCGCGCGTAGAAGAGATGGCAAAAGTTTTCAACGCGCGCAGAACACAGACCACGAGCAGGGAGAAGGCATGTCACGAACGCACACACGCGCGTATTGTTGCTCGTGGTACTGAATCTGCGCGTGTGTAGGGTGAAATATGCGCGTGGAGACTGGTTTGCGCGCGTGTGAATTAAATAAAGCTGCGCGTGTATGTATTATTTGCGCGTGTGGACTTTTGGCGTAAATCTGGCGCCATAGGTTTCTTTCTGGGCGACGTTACAGGCAAGTTGTGTGCATAGCTGAGTGGCTAAAGAAGGAAGAACACTGGAGCAGACTTTGTGTTTGTGTCCTACATTATCTAATAATCAAAAAGTCCAATCCATAAGTAATCACTAGGTTACATGATGTCGCTAGATGTAGTTATCATGATCAGTCAAGTTAAAGCAAGCTCAAACAGCTAAAATGCTAACCGGCAGTTAGCATTTTAGCTGTTTTGCTAAGTTAGCTAAGGAGGCTCCTTCGTTTTAGTCTGAGGAGAAACAGCTGTTCATGATTTAGCCTGTGTAGCCTTCTAGTCACAACAAAAGCACATAAATACTTTAGTGCTAAAGTATTCAGCTCTAAAACCACAAAGTGTGTGGTGTTTTTCCTTGATTACAACAACTGGAGAACAAAAGTGATCAACCTGTATACCACTAAAAAGGCAATAATAACTTGAGCTAATGTTGCTTTTTTCCTTTATCAGGAGAACCATAGTCTGTGCCTTGCATCTGTGGAGAGGACTGCTGAGCTGAATGCATGGAGAGACGTGATGTGGATTTATGTTTTCTTTTATTTTGTGCATAACTACTAGTAAAAGTCATCCAGTGATCCTCCTTGTGTCGTGGTCCTTCTTCAGACAGCGCAGAACATGGAACACAACGCAGATTACAGTAATAAAGGGGTTAACAGGTGTGCACCAGGTCAAGACTGTAATTGAACAATAAAAACAAGTTACAACGGTGCCCACACCCGTTACAAGTCCATTTCCTGCCATACAAGAACAGTTCAGGGTAAGGATGTACCCCAAGTCTTTGTGGCCATAGTTACTCCCAGGCATCATAAGGCTTTGACTTAATGCCCACTCTCTGACTGGGGAGCACATCTGCCTCAAAACACGGAACTCAGTACCAGAGTCAAAGTATTTCACATTCTTTACATAACACATAATTGTCTGCATCGATAGATTTATATGATTTAGGTTCTCTTTTGTATAGACACTGGGGGCCTGAGTGAGGTAATTATAGATATTAGGCCAGGTAACTGATGGCCATTTTCTCCTATCTACAACACACTGTTCTGTGAGAATAGTATTATTATTATATGTTTATTTGACAGGCACAGAACAAAAAGTATTGTTACAGGTAACCAATGCCATGTTCATAGGCCGTATAGCAAACAGATAATTGGCAGTCGCTAAGGCATAAAAATATTAGAGATTTCAGTTCAGCAGGTAAAATGTTCCAGAGCTGTGGCTCTTCGACTGCAAACGAAGTCTGACCAAATGATGTTTTACATCTTGCCGGTCTGCAGTGTGTGTGGATCAGGAACTGGTGCCCATCGCAGAGGACCAATTTATGAAGATAACCTGCACGATCAGAACTATTCAGGGGTTCTGTGTAGTGTGTAGAGATGATAGCCATCCTAAACTAGCAAACACAATACAGGTACAGAAGCCAATTATGACAGGTTGAAACAGCTTAGCCCCAATTTTAAGTTCATTTTAATAAAAATACATGAAATCAAATGAAGTTTACTACTATTTAGCAATGTTAACAATTCAGATAGCTCATTTGTTTCAAAACTTTGTATACACATTTTTGATATTTGGGTTTATGGACTGACAGATTTATTGCTAGTTAGCATAGACTCATTAGGTCAACCCCCTATAATTATGCAAATAAAAAGCAAACAAATAACTCAGAGACAGTTTTATTAAACTTTGATAACGGTCCTGACATGATTCTGACAAAGCATTCAGTGTAAACAACGTACAGCGATGACAAAGGTCCCGGGATGTACCTGGCTAGCCTTGCGGCAACATAGGCTGATGAGAGAGAATATTAATTTACGAACTAAACATGTCCTGGTGTAAGCCTATAGGGTGTCCACAACAGTGTACATACCACGTTAAAGACTACAATAGCCAGCCCAGTTAGGGTTATAAAAAAGATATACAGTCTATGGATTAATCATATGCTTTCCATGCATAAGCATTTCATCTCCAAGCTGCAGTGGGCTGTTTACCTTTCACTGGCCCCGCCCCCAAGCGACAAAAGTATTTCACGCGCGCGTAGAAGACATGGCAAAAGTGTTCAACGCGCGCAGAACACAGACCACGAGAAGGAAGAGGGCAGGTCACGAGCGCACACACGCGCGTATTGTGGCTCGTGGTACTGAGTCTGCGCGCGTGTGGTGTGAAATGTGCGCGTGGAGAGTAGTTTGCGCGCGTGTGAATTAAATAAAGCTGCGCGTGTATGTGTTATTTGAGCGTGTGGACTTTTGGCGTAAATCTGGCGCCATACAATCTCACGCTCCATCCTTCCCTCACTCGTGAACAAGACCCCGAGATACTTGAACTCCTCCACTTGAGGAAGGACTTCCCCACCCACCTGAAGAGGGCAAAGCACCTTTTTCCGGTCGAGCACCATGGCCTCGGATTTGGAGGTGCTGATTCTCATCCCAGCCGCTTCATACTCGGCTGCAAACCGTCCCAGTGCATGTTGCAGGTCCTGGTTCGTTGGAGCCAGCAGGACGACATCATCCGCAAAAAGCAGAGATAAAATCCTTTGGTCCCCGAACCGGACCCCCTCCAGCCCCTGCGCCTAGAAATTCTGTCCATAAACACAGTGAACAGAACCGGTGACAAAGGGCAGCCCTGGCGGAGGCCAACATGCACCGGGAACAGGTCTGACTTACTGCCGGCAATGCGAACACGGCTCTGGCTCCGGTCATACAGGGTCCGGACGGCCCTCAGCAGAGGATCCCGGACTCCCCGGAGAACCCCCCCCCCCAAAGGACACCCCAGGGAACACGGTCGAACGCCTTCTCCAAATCCACAAAGCACATGTGGACAAACTCCCATGAACCCTCGAGTATCCGATGGAGAGAATAGAGCTGGTCCAGTGTTCCGCGACCGGGACGAAAACCACACTGCTCCTCCTGACTCAGAGATTCGACCATCGGCCATAGCCTCCTCTCCAGTACCTTGGAGTAGACCTTACCGGGGAGTGTGAGGAGTGAAATTGGAATACACCCTCCGGTCCCCCTTCTTGTAGAGAGGGACGACCACCCCGGTCTTCCACTCCATTGGCACCGCCCCCGATCACCACGCAATGCTGCAGAGACGTGTCAGCCAAGACAGTCCTACAACATCCAGAGACTTTAGATAGTCAGGACGGATCTCATCCACTCCCGGCGCCTTGCCACCATGGAGGCTGCGAACCACCTTGGTGACCTCTGCCAGGGAGATAGAAGTATCCGCCCCAACATCCTCAGCCTCTGCCTCCGGGACGGAGGACGTGACGGGGGGATTGAGGAGAACCTCGAAGTATTCCTTCCACCGCCCGACAATATCCCCAGTCGAGGTCAGCAGCTTTCCACCCGCACCGTACACGGTGTTGGCAAAGCACTGCTTCCCCCTCCTGAGGCGCTGGACGGTTTGCCAGAATCTCTTCGAGGCCGACCGATAGTCATGCTCCATGGACTCTCCGAACTCCTCCCAGTCCAGGGTTTTTGCCTCTGCAACAGCCCGGGCCGCGGCACGCTTGGCCTGCCGGTACTGGACAGCTGCCTCAGGAGTCCCCCGAACCATCATGGCTCGATAGGACTCCTTCTTCAGCCTGACGGCATCCCTTACTGCCGGTGTCCACCACCGGGTTCAGGGGTTGCCGCCGGGACCAGCACCAGAGACCTTGCGACCACAGCTACGGGCCGCCGCATTGGCGATAGAGGAAGAGAACATGGTCCACTCGGACTCAATGTCCCCCTCCTCCGCCGGGACCTGGAAGAGGCTCTCTCGGAGGTGTGAGTTGAAAGTCCGTCTGACAGGGGCTCAGTGAGACGTTCCCAGCGAACCCTCACTACACGCTTGGGTCTGCCAGGTCTGACCGGCTTCCTCCCCTGCCAGCAGATCCAACTCACGACCAGGTGGTGATTGGTTGACCGCGCCGCCCCTCTCTTCACCCGAGTGTCCGAGACAGGCGGTCGAAGGTCAGATGATACGACAACAAAGTCGATCATCGACCTCCGGCCTAGGGTGTCCTGGTGCCACATGCACTGGTGAACACCCTTGTGCTCGAACATGGTGTTCGTGATGGACAAACCGTGACTAGCACAGAAGTCCAACAACTGAACACCGCCC